AATGTGTTTTTCTGTTTTTAACTGTGTAGCATAATTAGAATCTAGACTAATGTTTTTAAACGCTCTTATATATTCGTTAATGCGTTTCGTGAAGGATCTACCTGTTTGTCCAATATAAATTTTAGGACAAGATCCATTTACAGTATGTACATACAGACAACAGTAAACTCTATTTATCCGAAACCTAATACAGAACACGAACAATTTAAAACATTTACATACATAGGAGAATCTAGTGAAAAAGTTTCAAAACATTTGTCAAAATGTTGTTTAAAAATAGGTTTCAGAACTAACAACATCCAAATGCTCACAGGTTGAAATGTGGATCTTGTCCTAAAATTTATATTGGACAAACAGGTAGATCAATCAAGAAACGCGTTAACGAACATATAAGAGCGTTTAAAAACTATGCTAAAAATTATGCTACACACTTAAACACAGAAAAACACATTTTTGACCACAATTTTGATATATTACATACAGCCACAAAAAGTAAAAAATTAAATTTATTGGAAGTCATGGAGATTAACAAATTGAGACATTCAAATGTATTGCTTAACGATCATTTAGATTTAAATACCTCTCCTGAATTTAAATTCTCTCAACAACATTAATTAAGGTTTTATGGTCATTTTTCGGTATATATAGTAACAGGTAGTTTGTAAATATTACATTTGATGGTGTTTGTCGAAACAATTGTCATGTCAAAATATATAATTTCGTGAAAATCTGAGCTTTTAGTTTAGTTTTAGTTTAGTTTAGTAATTTATTAAGCCTGTCATCATTGCTTGTTAAAACCTCAAACAACTCCAAAGTAATATTTCCTATTTTAAAGAAGAGTACTTTGTTTTATGGCAAAGTTAAAAAAATATATCATTTTTGTGTGCAAAATATATTTCGCGACGTTGCTGTAAAAAATATTAAAATTTGACCTTAACCAACTTTAAAAATCTTATAAAATTAGGTAGTTTAGAAGAATACATATACCCCTGAAATCGGTATTCTCTGCGAGTTTCGACTTGCACCGCCACTGACGTCAATAAATCTCTTCATCGTGCACCACATAAAAAGAACTGCGCGTTTACGTGATCGCCTTCTTGCTACTAGCTATTACCGTGAGAATAATCGTCTTGTAGCGAAGACTGTCCATTTAAGAACTCACCGGCCGCTCGCTGTTTAGCGAACAGACCAATCTGACATCGTTATCAATTCTTTGCCAAGGGTAAAGTTGGATAATTAAACGAATGTTTCAACAAGAACGCAATGTCAATTGGGATGAGTGCCGCAAACTCTGTTGATTAACCTTTCCCCTTTGAGCCACAAATTTTAACCCAGTTTTGAGATGAAACGAATTTGACGCGTGACCTTTGACCCCTTTACTGATAGATATGAGCGTGGTAAATTGATTCTTGTTATTGCTTTTGAAGCAAATTCGCCCGAGTTGCTTGCTAGAGGTCTGGCAATGGAGAGAATGAAATCTGCATTGTATTGGGCTTCTAAAAATAGTATTGTTCTAATAAAAAGTTATCTCTGCGGTTTTGTAATCTTATAATATCCATCCAATGGTCTGTCTTTAACCTTACATTTTCCTGTTTTATAGTGTGATTGGCAATAAGAAAAGAGTAGTCCATCCTTGGTAGGTTAAACACTGCTAGCTCATCATTCTGCAACGGCATTGCACTACGACTGTGTCTACTTGGACCTCTTGCTGTAGCGCGTGTCATATATAATATAACATTTTTATACATTCGAAGTATGTGGAAGTATGATTTGTCAAAATTGGTTTAGAAATTATATTAAAATATTTTTTTTTATTTTGCTTTAGTTTCTTTAACTTTCAAATATTTCGTGACATTATAATCCGTTTAATGCCTGGAGAGGCATTCTTTGTGATGTAGTCAATTTATAACGCAATTAATAGAACTATGTCTATGAAAGTACGAATTATATATTTTAGAGCCCTTTAACATGGCGATTACCCAGAAAGCATTGGCAGTGGTTAGGATTAACGGACGTAATTTTCATGCACTTGGATAAAGTAGAAACATATTGTATTTTATAACATTATTTATATTTTTTTCTCGCTCGCCGTATTTAGAATACAGTTTCAGCGATGGACAGCGGTATTGGCCAAGCCTCGCGCGTTCGCCTACAACAAATTACAACAACGTTTTTATAACGTTAATTGAACATCGGATTCGTCTCGCGCAGTATTTACATTCGTCGGTTGCGCAAGGTTTTTCGGAAAAATTGAACTTTACGCGACGCCGCCCGCGCGCCGTTGCAAAACCGTTTAAAATGTCAAAAAAGGACTACACAATAACCTAAAGCTAATTTCATTCGGGTATCTCGATTGTGTGTGTGCTTATATTAACAGCGTCGTTCGGCAATAAAATCCAATCGACGAATCCAATGGTTATCGGTCTCTGATGTTTTGGGCGTCAGCCCCGAGAATCTACAAGCACAAATATACATTGTTTATTCAAACGGTTTCATTAACACTTTAAAAGCGACGATATCGTATCAGAGGTTGTCACCAAACTGGAACGAAACAAAAATAATGAACTGAGGTGGCTTTTACTTGATGAAAATCCATTTATCAAAATAAATAAGAACTAAAAACTCAGATTTTCACGAAATTATATATTTTTACATGACAACACCGTGTCTTTATCAACATTTGATAAATATATATAATTTTGTGAAAATCTGAACTTTTAGTTCTTATTTATTTTGAAACGAAAATATGAAACCGTATTTGAGACCTACCAAACCATTCATACCAAACCGATCATAAAATTTGACAACACCGTCTTCCTCTTAAAACATTGCGTAAATCTTTGATCGGTAAAATACAAATCCAAGGTAAACTCTAGTTAGTGAAGCCGCAATTGAGAGAAATAAATATGAACGTGTGTTCACAAAACCCAGCAGCCAAGATAAGCATTTATGGAATGAGAAACAGTTGCTTATACGGCTACAGAATGGGTTTTACATAAATTAGTTCTAGACAATCACTTTATGTAGTGAGATATATCACTACTTGAACTGTTTCTAGATTATACCTGTTCTTTTTTAACTGTCATAACACCAGCAATAACATTCAACGAGTGACGTGTGACGTGACGATGTGGGTAGTAAAATCGACGCCTTAACGTTACATTTTCCGCACCCTTGATCGATTGGCGATTGGAAAAAAACAAACCCGAATTGTCAACCATAAATGGGAATTACAAATCTGACTTTAAAATTTTTATTTGGTACTTTGCATTTTCCTTTGTTACATTTTAAATTATAGATTATGGTTTTCTTTTTAACACAAAGTGCAAGAGAAATAAAATGAAATTGATAAATAAAAAATGTGATTGTTTATGGTGTTAAACATAAGAGATCACTTCTGGAAATTCCTGAAGTAACAAAGATAAATTTGACAGAGTCGTACAAATGATAGCGACAAATTTCTTCTTGCTGTAAACATTGCATGCCTCTCGTATCGTTTTTGCAATGAAGCGCAAAATTATTTACTTGCGTACTTTGTGATAAAAAAGAGCCTGTAAAAGTTTCCCAGTTGACTCACTGTGCTAAATTGTTCCACGAAAACGCTTCACATACGAAATTTAAGTATCAGAATTAACAATATTAGGCATTCTCGGGACCACCCAATTAGAGGTCGGCGAACCACACATTGCATCCGAATGATTGTTGCGAGGCATGCATCTCATATTCGTGTATGGACTACTGAAAAATGTTTGTCGACCTAACGAAGTTCATTATTGCGTACGAAAGCAACATTCTAGCAATACTTTTTTGAACTTTATTTCCATGGATTTAAATCGAGTGTCTCAAAGTTTGAAAACTGACAATCCCGCATTATCCCGATCGTTATCCCGAGTGTTTCAGGATTTATTTTAATCGAAGAAAATTTGTTGATATACCAGACAGAAATGACAACATGAAATCATAGTTGGATTTGCTTATTCTTTATTATCCTTACTTTTTGAAATAGCCTAGATATTCAGTGGAAGTGTATTAATTTTTGGGAAGCGCTGTTTTCGAAGGTTTGGAGAATTCCGCATTTGACCGCTAGCTGCTTTCTTTAATATTGCTGTCTGCTAATACAAATTCCGTGAGCAGAACGGGTCATAAATTAGGTTAACATCAACGCGTTTGTTTGAGAACTCCGTCTAAAAGTTGTTGTTTCGCTCCTATTAATGTTGTCCACGTTTTTCTCGGACCCCTTCGTCCTTGCCGCCTTAATTGAAACTTTGCACTGCCGAATGATGATCCGAAAGCAGCATCAACAACTGCATTTCAGCCTTGACCAAAATAGGCGCTCGCTACACGCGCTCGCCATCACCATCATCTACAACTTTCTTCATTCAACTCAAATTAAAATCGACAATATTGCGTAAAGCTTGGGGCGGCCAGTTCCGGCATATTTTGAAAATTTTAAATCTGCACGAACTTCTTGGATGTGGAAAAAATGATAAAATGAAATCGCTTATAAAGCTTTTTAGATGGTTGATTTCATTAAGAGAAGTAACCAAGGCATCACCAGCATAAAAATAAAAATAAATTTGGCGCAAGTGTATGTACTTCGTAACTTCCTATAGCATTTTATATTGAAGTTTCATAGTTTGTACCACCAACCAACCAACACTCGCTGTTTGACTTTTTGCACTGATCAGCATTTTTCCGAATTAAGTCTATAATAATTTCCGGCATTTTCAGAATTCCATTGCTTTTGTTTTAAATATTTTGCTCTCTTTAAATAACTTAGTAGTATTATTCTTGTCTCCTTATCTATCGAACTTGATTTCTCATTTTGTTTTCCAAGAATTTTCATTATTGTTCTTAACAATTATTTTTTGTTTTCAGTTTGAATCAAAAATTTAATTGTTATTGTAATTCGGCTTTGGCTGTAACCAAAACTGATTAAAAATTTTAAAGTCGTCGCGTCTTGATGCGTGATCGATTCTTTTGAACCCCTCTTGTTTCAGGAAGACGACGACCCGACTCACGAAACCGCCGAAGGAGACGACGATGACGACGACGCTTTCTTCGATAGAGTAGCAGACGTCGTCGATTCAACAGGCTTCCAATCGGAACAGCCCACAGAAAAATCTCACATAGGTATACTTGGACCAGAATTATAGTGCTTTTATAACCGACCTCGTCATTAACTTTGCCTACTGTTTATTACTCCAAAACCGCGGCCCCTTTTGCCGAGCAGATCCTTGCTCGTAAACATTCCAGGACCGTCTTAGGAATTTATCTACCTACACTAACAAGCTAGATATAAGTATGTCTTAAATCTTTTTAGCTGAGCAATTCTGGAGACATGTAAATAAAAAAATTAGTACAAAGTAACAATTTATTACGTTCTATGTCACTTGTTTTTATTGCTGCTCCTACTTTCCCTTCTGAATTACTTATAAAATTGTAGACATTCAAAACATTTTGTTTAGCATCCGAAGAGAAATGGATCAGTTTTTTTATTTGCTGAGGTCTTTTAAATTGAGATGTCATATTTATTGGTTTATAAATAGGAAAATTACATATCATTCTAAAAATATTAGCGGGGAATCCCCGAAAGTAAAATATAATTTCAGGGATTCCTGCGCCAGGTATTGGCAGAATATCTCGAAGAAAGCATATTTATCGAGTTTGTTATAGGCAGTCGTTTTGTGACCATTTAAATTTCTTTTTAAAATATTCCATATACGTTTTGTTATATGTGTGGTTCTTTTGTGGTCAAGAAATTTAGACGTAAAATTACACCTCTATCTAATAAACAACACTACGCTTATTTCAAAGTAAAAATTGGTGATCAAAACAAAGCTCGGGCGCCACATATTGTTTGTAAGGTAGGTGAAGAAGGCTGAAGATATTGGAATAATGCAACCAGTCGATCTCTAGCTTTTTGGAATTCCTGTGATACGGAGAGAGCCAGCAAATCGCCATGATGCAATGTTGCTGGATATAAAAATAAAAATTTGAAAAACATTGTTTATCTGGAGAGTGTCACATGCCCCAAATGATGACCCAATACCGCCAGTTTCTCAGCAACGCAATCAGACCTTAAGGGCTTAGTGAGAGACTTAGATTTACCTAAGGATCTTTCCGAAATATTAGCATCTAGACTTCGAATTTAAAAATTTGCTGGCACACAACGTTAAGATCTCGTATTTCAGGAAGCGCCAGACAGAATTTATAGGCAATTTTGAACAAATATTATATATATATATATATATATATATATATATATATATATATATATATATATATATATATATATATATATATATATATATATATATATATATATATATATATATATATATATATATATATATATATATATATATATATGTATATATATATATTATAATATAATATTGTAAATATATCAATGTAATAAAGAAACTTGGAATAGACTACAATTCTGAGGACTGGAGGCTTTTTATTGACTCATCCAAGAGAAGCCTTAAAACTGTTTTTTTCCACAACGGAAATGTTCTTCCTTTTGTACCCGTTGCTCATTCTTTGCAAATGAAAGAATGCCACGAAAATCTGGAACTACTCCTTGAGAAAATACAATGGAAGGACTATAGTTCGATGATCTGTGGTGACTTCTACTAGGTCAGCAGGCAGGATATACTAACAATTCTCTCACCACGCGGTACGTTAAAGCTTTAAATAAATACCTCTGTGGAAAATTTCCTTCTCTCTCAGATGCAAAATTAAAGGACGGAATTTTTGTAGGTCCTCAAATAAGGCGAGTAATCGAAGATCAAGACTTTGTGAACACCATGATTGAATCTGAAAAGGTTGCACGGGTTTTATTGGCTGATGTTATAAAAGGTTTTCTAGAAAACAACAAATATCCACATTACAAAGACATTGTAGAAGACATGTTAAAGAAATTTAGGGAAATGGGATGCAAAATGAGTATTACACTATGTATTTTACACATACATCTGGACTACTTTTCCGAAAATCTTGATGCCGTGAGTTGCAAGATCGTTGGAACGTTACAATGACGGCAGATTACTGCTGGTCATGAAAAAGGAACATCCGGAAATGGAATGTACAAGAAAATCCACTAAACGAAGTGTTTCGACCAAGGAGAGATCTTCCGATAATAAACATTTTTTTAGACTTTGTTATTTAAATCAGATTTTTTTAATACGGTTTTTGTTCTTGCACTAATAAAAATTAAAAAATAATAATAAACAATTCTTTAATGATGATAAAAATCTTATGTGATAGAGGAAAATGTTTATCAGATTTAAATTTAGATCAGATTTACTACGTTATTTGATTGACAATTTTTCCAGACTCCAGACCAGTCTCGAGTCTGACCGAATATAAGTGGATCCACTATGGCACTCTGGAAAGTGTCCGGGAGTCTCGCAGGAAACAGCTGAGCTTACCAAAGTCTGGTGAAGGTGAGTTGACGTGCAATGAAAAGGTCGTGGACGCAGCCTGTTACTAAAGTCGTGGGCCGTGAAAAATCGTCGAATGCGCGAACATCTGTGCCTTGGGTGTGTTATTTTCAATCTGTTGGCTAGGCAAAGGATACCATTTATCAACCAATAAATCGAGAAGCGCCGCACGGTCGCCCATTGTCCGTGTAGCTTTCAAGTTTACTCACGATCTCACCTGCGGGTTCTAAATACTCGTTTTCAGCATTGGCTCGGCTCAGGGTTCAATTTTAGGCTCAGTTTTATTTTTAATGTACAGAAACAATACGTCGCAATACATTCTTCGTTGAAAATCAATAGTTTTTCTGCTGATAGACATGTCGAAGGAAAAATATTATTATATTGAAAATGTAATTCTATTAGATGTTTTTTCACAAAGTGGTTGTAGGTAAAAATAAGTTTATCGATATAGACAATTGAACACGCTATATTTATTGTTCAAAGCTCAGACTGAGAAACTTTTAAACAAATTACAAGGAACGCTTATTAACATTATGTGGGTATACTGACAAGAGATCAGGAGATGGAGATTTTAGACTAAGTTGAATGCCCATTTAAAGAGGACTTCCTATTAACGTTAGTTTTTTGTTTTTCCAGTAGATAATCAACAGTTGTTTGTATTATATTGAAAATGGAATTCTATTAGATGTTTTTTCACTATAATCAACAGTGGTTGTAGGTAAAAATAAGTTCATCGATATAGACAGTTGAACACACTATATTTATTGTTTAAGACTGAGGCCAAACATAGTTTTTAAACCACATATTTCAGCTATTGAAATCTATGCCGCCAAAAGAGTTCAGAGCTCAGATTGAGAAATTTATAAACAAATTACAAGGAACGCTTATTAACATTACGTGGGTATACTGACAAGAGATCAGGAGATGGTGATTTTAGACTAAGTTGAATGCCCATTTAAAGGGGACTTCCTATTAACGTTAGTTTTTTGTTTTTCCAGTGGATAATCAACAGTTGTTTGTATTATATTGAAAATGGAATTCTATTAGGTGTTTTTTCACTATAATCAACAGTGGTTGTAGGTAAAAATAAGTTCATCGATATAGACAGTTGAACACACTATATTTATTTTTTAAGACTGAGGCCAAACATAGTTTTTAAACCACATATTTCAGCTATTCAAATCTATGCCGCCAAAAGAGTTCAGAGCTCAGATTGAGAAACTTATAAAGAAATTACAAGGAACGCTTATTAACATTACGTGGGTATACTGACAAGAGATCAGGAGATGGTGATTTTAGACTAAGTCGAATGCCCATTTAAAGGGGCCTTCCTATCAACGTTAGTATTTTGTTTTTCCAGTGGATAATTAACAGTTGTTGTCGATCAAGACTTTCCTAGCTGTAGTGATTGATCTATGCGTATATAGGGTACTATTTCTTCTTTTTCTTCTTCATGCGATACTCGTGGGTCCAATATCTTATAATATTAACAATTTTCTCTCAGGCTCCATTTATATTATATGTTGGATGATTTCTGAAGATTGGTGGTATCCTCCACTTAAGTAGTTTGATGATCTTCAGACAGTTCTTTGTAGTTATTATCTGATCCTGATTCGTTACCATGAACCCTTTTGTTTTTGTGTATTATTACTATTTCATTCAATTCAAAGTGGGTGGGTGGGTATACAGGGTGACCTTTTTCAGAGAACCACGTAAGCGCGGTGGTGGAGCACTACATTCGGGTAAAGAACGACGGGCTTTGTCAAAAACCGATACCCAAAGTTATTCCGGTGCAGCAGGAACACCCGAACGCGTCCATCACGTACATACCCCATTGCACGGTCTTGCACAGGTGCGCAGAAGATACCGGGTGCTGCAAACACGATACCACGTGCCAGTACAAAGCGAGGGAAGAGATCCGATTGTATTTTTATGTAAGTATGTTTGTGTAATCGTTAATCACGATCGCTCAGCTCGTATCGCTTTGAACTGAGATTAATATTCGTAATACTAATCATCGATTCCATATGCTGAACCTAAACAAAACCCAACAAGCTCTCTTCCTGTAGACAATGTTGTCGTTAGCGCCATTCGAAGCGATAACAAGCAAACGGGAAGTGTTGATTTGTTCGGGACGGTTTTATTTTGAAAATGGATGGATGCGCTTTGTTTGTTTATTTATTTTTTGCTTTGAATTATTTTTAAACGCAAAGTATCTTTAACCAATTCGTATCTCATAGTTTTTAATTAATTAATCTTTTTTTAAAACGATATCTGTTTTAAATTTGCTGAAATTTGTTGTGCAAAAGCTATATCGATCTTGGCTCCGTTTGTATGTTGTTGGACACTCCATAGCGCAAAGTACAGGTTCGCGGCAAACCTAGGTAAAAGTTCTTGGCAAATTATACTAATAAATTTTATTAATTTACTCGAAATTGCAGCGCGCTTTTTTTAGACAAATGACTCAGTGGCATTTGCCGAGCTAACTTTTTAGTTCCCATTACGCAATTTGTATTCGTAATAATTTACTTTGTAAACGCAAATTTGAGGCCGTTAACATTCTGCGCGCTGTTTTAGATCTAATTAGCGCCAATATACGAAATATAAGTTTCTTAAGTTAAACAATATGATCTACTAACTCAATATGATCGATATAATTATGACTTGACAATCATAAATCATAATTTTTTTTATAAAAGTTGGTAATTTTTTTTTATAGTGGTGCTTGTCAGGACATGTTTTTGGGGTTACAAATTTTAAAATCCAACATTGCGGCACAATTGAATCAATAATGCAATATTGAAGAGTTCGTTCACGTTGCAGACTAAGGCCATCGGCTCTTCAGATCGTACCAGAGTAGAACAATTGACTTTCTACAATCACACTAGCTGCGAGTGTCGATCGACACGTCGCCCCAAGGATCAGCAAGACTTCGAAAAAGCGAGTCCCGCTTTCAAGTCGTACGGTTCGCTCGTTCACGAGCCTGAAAACTTGGAAATAAAGTGAGTTCTCGACCTTAATATGGAGAGTGCTTATCTTTTGTGTACTAACGCTTAACGTTCGTATTTTTGAAGATAACCGGTTGCTTCTTTTTCAAAAGCCAATTAAAAAACTTGGTTAAAAGCTCTAACCAAGTCCAGTTAAATTAATTTTCTTTTCAAAGAAACTTCTGGAATGGGAAACGTGGTAAAACGTATGTTAGAGTGTATAGAGTTTAAATGTCTAAGAAAATCTACTAGGGATTCTTGACCATGAGGCCAAATAATTTAGGATTTAGATGAAAGGTGTCTAGAGCTTTCTTCTCAAAGGCTTCCGGCTTCCATAAATATATTCAGGATGACTGGTAAAAGGGGAGAACGCATAACTGTTCCCGACGTTTGTTCAAAAACTTAACAGTTATAAGAAAAATAGGGTGAGAAGTTTCGGTTCCAGATTCTCTGATTTTAATTTATCTGAAATGATGTTGGGAGTTTCAGGAATAGGAACTTTGGTAAAGGGGGTACGTCGAAAAATAACTAGAATATCTTGTGTATCTAGTGTAATGCTTTTTAATTGTTCAATGAAGTGAAAGGGATTAAGTACAAAACTATCAGTTTTCCCTGAAAGGGTACAATAGGGTACTGACCATAGGTCGAAGGGGTAATTCTGGTATGTCAGTCTTTGAGAGTCCGTAGAGACGAGAAATTTTAGAGTCTAATAGAGAAGAAGCATTAATAACAGATTTAAGGTTACTTTCCATAGATGAGGATTTTTTTTAAGTTGACTATATGTTCCGTCTGTGAAAATATCTTGAATCTTTTGCAATATTAGATCAAGTACAATTGTTTCATAACCTTCACGCGTCATACAGTACATATATTATAACTGAGGAAGAATAAAGGATATGTAATCTTAGATCTCAACAACTACTAACCAAAACTAACCAACAAATTTGGATTCTGAAAGGTTCTTTCAGCTTTTAGTTATGTCATTATTCCGATTTTGCAGATGCAAGTGCCCGGATGAGTTCACGCCGAAGATGAGGCCCTACGCGAAATGCTCCTGCGATTGCGATCCGACTAATCAGGACTGCCTGCGAATGCAAAAGGGCAAAGAGTATATCGGTTTGAAAGATAGACTGTAAGTGTGTTAATTAGGTGCGTCGAATAAATTTCCGACACTGGTCAACTGTTTCAGATGTATCCTCAAAAACCAATGCGGCACCGTGCAGTGCGAGTACGGATCTTACATCAGGGAACGAGGCAGGTGTCCCAGAAAAGACGAATTCTTGCGATCTAAAATGAAATAATCTTTTTCGGTCGTTTTCGACTTTGCGCGCGCTGTGATCATTTTTACGGAGAAGGCGTTAGATGCAGGAGTACAAAACATTCTTAGGGCGACGAATCGGCAGAAAGTTTTTGGTACCATTTTTATGTTTTGATATTTTAGTAAACATCAAAAACTTTTGTTTTATATAAATCTAATTTAACGGTCAGGAATAATTATTTAAATAGAATTCGAAACTTCATAGCTGGCAATTGAAAGTGTTTTGAAACTTTCCTCAATTGAATAATTTCAAAGCTATTATTCATCGAAAACGTTTTTTTTTCTATTATTGGTAATAAAGACTAAAAATAAAACGGATTGTCAAAAATTTTTGATATCGACATCTATCTATTGGGACAACATTGGTAGATTTTTGATTTTGAATTTTTCCAAAGTTTGAGCAAATTGCTTTTGAAATGGTTACAATTCTTTATTTGTTGACTAATTTCAGATTCAGTTTGTTGTCTAAACATGGTGTTTCAAAAATTCTTCAGCTAATTTCTAGGGTAAAAATAAGCAAGGGACGACCAAAAAATATATATATTTTTAATATTTCTGAATCGACATTTAGTTGTCAATAAAAGTTTTTAAAACTAAAATACAAAATTAAAAATATAAAAATAAAAAGTTTGGGGAAAAGTGTGTTTATTAACCAAACTCATGGTATTTTTTAATATTCCATTTATCTTAGACATTAGCCGAAGGTATTTTTGAAAAATTCTGCATACAATTACAAACAAAAAATACATATATTTTTTAAACTTTTGCGGTAGGAATATATTAAATTATTTTAATAGTGAATGAGATATATATATATATATTTTTAATTTTTTTTAGAAATGTAGTTCTTAGATGCTTTACCCGAAACCTAGTCTATTAGATTTATTTAGGCGATAATTTTTTAACGATAAAGGGTTGTAAAAATTGTGTAAATGTTATAAAATTCTTTCAAGTTCCGTGCCTTTTAAATTCCTTTCCTCAATTATGTCATAAGAACAAATAATGGTAAGTATGCATTTTCATCACATCTAACGAATATCACCAGTCTATTAGCGGAATTGGAACAGACTGACAATTTTTCCAAAATAATTCAGTTGAATATTTGGATATTCTTAATAATAATAATAATAATAATAATAATAATAATAATAATAATAATAATAATAATAATAATAATAATAATAATAATAATAATAATAATAATAATAATAATAATAATAATAATTGCCAAGGAATGGAAAGTAGCGAAAGTTATATTAATACAAAAACGATGAAAATTCGGAAATCCAAGTGCCTTCAGGCCACTTTGTTTGCTTAGAACACTTAGTAAAGCATATGAAGAAATTGCGGAAAAAGGAGGAATAGCGAAACGCCAATATGGGTTTGCAACGGGACGATCGACAATACATGCAATACAAGATATCAAGGACACTAGACGTTCGCAACGCTTTTAACTCTGCTAATTAGAATTTAATACTGCAAAAACTAAGGAAAAGTATATCATTGCGGAATATCTCAAGGACCTATATATACAGTTAGCAAAGCGGGAAATATTTGAAATTAAATTCGGAGTTCCGCAGGGATCCGTACTAGGACCGACACTTTGGAATATCTCGTACAATGACGTTTTTAAAATTAAAGTACAGGGACGAGAAAAGATAGTTGGTTTTGCATATGATATAGCACTACTGGCATCGGCAGAAGAAAAGAACATTCTTATATACAATACCAATGAAAACTTGCAAAAGATAAATAAGTGGATGAATGCAAACAAGCTGAAGCTAGCGCCAGAAAAAACTGAAGCTCTGATTATCATACAGAAAAGAAAAGGCGAGGGCATGAAATTTTAAATACAAGGGCTAGATATAACATCAAAGGAGAGTATCAAATACCTGGGAGTCTTTTTCGATAAGCATGGAAATTTTGGGGAATATGTGAGGAGGGTTACTGCAAAGGCTGAGGACAGACTTGGTAAATTAGCACGACTTATGCCAAATATAGGGGGTCCCTCTAGTGGGAAAAGAAGGGCACTGTGTGGTGGTGGTCCTATTCAGTCCTATTGTATGGAGCACCTACATGTGCAGAAGCTCTAGAAGTAAAAAGGAACTACATACTCATGGAAAGAACCCGACGTAGGGCCCTAATACGAGTGACTGAGGCACGGACTCCACTTGGACGGGTGCGCATCCCCGTCGGGGTCTTCCCATTATGTGGGACAGTCAGCACGCTACCACTGGTGTTTGGCTGATGTAAGATCCCCAGCGTTACCCCTCGGAAAAAAAAATGTGAACGCTTATTGTTAAAGACTTTTCGACTGCTGAAACTAAGTGGTCAAAATTAAAAAAAAATTATATTGATTTATAAAAGAAGAAGACGGGTAAGAAACACTTTTTATTAATTGCTGCTTTTTATGTTTGTTAAGAAAATTCGCTATTGTAAAATGTTTATTTATGATTACGAACCTGGTCTCGAAACTTGAATTATATATAAAGATTTTAGGGGACTTATTTCATTTTTTTGTAGTAAAATGATCCTGAATATAAAACATTTCTCTGAAACATATCACACCAGCGACGTCGTATACCACAAAAAAGCTAATACAAGAGTATTTCATTTTTTGTGCTCTTTTTTTATCCACGCAATATTCAGGAAACACAGCATAGTGATGTTCATGTGTTGTGGTTAGTAAATTTTTATCTAATATTGTCAGTCAGTCCCACTCACTTCTGATTTTACTATTTAGAGTAATTCGTAAAAATTCTATTTTCTAAATAGTTGAAACTTGTAAAATTACCAATCACTAATCCTGAAAAAAGTATGTTTTTTTAATTTATGGTGAAGGAGGTTTTCTTAAAATTAACGCTCAGTAAAATTTTCTAAGCCGGTAACTAATGTATCTCGTTAGGATTATAGATGTGTTTTTGTTGTGACAAAAATTCTCTTCTTCAGTACTAACTGTACGTTATTATAATATTAATGTTTGATTGTATTTGAATATAAAAATCCGAAAAATTTTAAAATCGGTTTATTAATTAATCAAGCAGTGAAATGCATCTACGCCGTTTGGCAATCGTCATCGGAAGGAATGATTTCCGCGAAAAGTTCCTCGAACTCCTCCAGCTTGCAGAACGATCCGCATCCAGGAATGGTCAACAATTTTGGGTTACTGTATCTCCAATTTTGATAGTAGATCTTAAACCCGTATTGGCCGCTAATTTTGTGCAGTTCAACAAGCACGTGGGACCCGTAGGATGGGATGTCGTCCTGGTAAACTCCCAAAGTGGTCAGTATGTTAGCGACGTTCCTTTCGTGGCCGGAGTAGACGAACATCTTCCTCGAAGACGGTGTCAACGTACCGTCGATTTTCCTTTTTGAGTCCTCTAGGATTTTCCTCAACATAAACCCTAAACAGGCGTACAAATAATGGATGCATGGTTAAAATTTAATTCCGGTATTACCTCCGGCAATCTTCTTCAATTCGGTGGTGTTGGTTTGCAGGTAGTAAACGTTCTTGGAAATTTTTTCCATTTCATCCGGATACACTTGCTTGGTCCACTCCTCCAACGGGTAACCGTATTCTAGCTACAGGTTCGTATGGGTGTAAAGTTGGTAGGCATAAGTGGTTGCGTTACCTGAGTGGTGAGCGCAAAGTACAAATTAAAGATGCCGTCAGGCCCCGTTATGTTCAACCCGGTGTAGGTGCTCACGTACGAGTAGGTGGGTTCGAATTGGGATAACAGCTCTTGGACTTTGTCGGAAGCCAGAAGTTCTTCGTACAGTTTTTCGTAGTTGCTACAAGTCCACGTGGATCCCAGTTCCTGTTGAAACCGTTACGGCACATCAAAATTGTATATATTGGTTCCACTATTCGAAAACTGGAACCGTACCACAACTATACTTATTTTTATCCATTTCCATACAAACAGAACTTCATTAGATAGGAATAAAAATAAAAAGTGTTCTACTAAAACTGAATATTTTACCTACAATATAAGCTAGCTAACACTTTTTGGCAAATTAAGCTTTGGACCTAAGCTTGCAGCAAATGATGGCTAGTTTGATATGCGAGGTCAACTTTTATTTTTAAATGTTTGTTTTTGTATAAAAAGCGCCATAATGTTATAGAAACACAACATTCTAATACAAATACCGCCCCAAGTTAGGATCATGTTCATCAGCTTGAAATAAGAAAAATTGTTCATATATACATGGGTTCAAAAACGCTTTGTTTCCTAGATGTCAAAGATGTTTTTTGTTTTATAATTAGCTTTACTAATTTTAAAAATAATTAGCTTAGGTTTTGGATACTTGTTACATATCAAAGACACAATATTTAGAGTAACCAATGGTATACTTGTTATACATCAAAAACAATTTTTGTTTATAAATTTGTTCTGTTCTGGATCCAGACTGGTAGCTAATTTTGAATGGTTAAAAACTCGCGTCCAGGACTCCAGTCTAATGTTTTGTTGCAGGTTAGGAAGGTTCCATGCCGAAAATGCTTTCAAAATTTAGAATGAATGGACACTTAATGGTTAGGGATTTTAACAGTGAAAAGACCAATTGAAACTGAATTTCTTCAATTTGCTTGCAATATACTATATCTTTTTACTAAAAGACTTGCCTTGTCTGCGGCGAAATAATTGTAGGGAATGGGTTGCCAGTTCAGCCACGGCAGCCACACTTGGTCATCTCGAGGCGGAAACAAGCCGGACAACATCAGGTTCGCAGACATTTTGGTTCGGTTGTAGTCGGTGGAACGTGCGTCCAGGATGTTGACGCTGTAGACATCACCCAAGAAGTCATTGTACCGTTGCCTCAGAGTGGTACCTATGCGATACTCGGTACGTTTGCCCTCCTAAAAACCAATTATTTCGGAAATTCGCACCAAGGCTGGCATACCAAAGCTGGTTACGTTGGTCAATTGTCCCCAACCCATTGGCGCGTAGAACAATTCGTTGTTGTAAGGATTTTTGTCGTATCCGCCATTCGTTGGTGTTCGATTACCATGTCTGAAAATCTGGAGAGACGAGCTATTCCCTAAATGGGTGAAATGAAGTGACTCACCGTGTGGACCAATACGAGGGTGCCATCGTACGTCGATCCAACACTTCCGTCAGACAATGAGGACAAGATGGCCGCAGCTAGTACTATAGCTCTCATGACACCGAATGCCTGATTAGGCGGTGGTCGGCTCGCTTTTTATATCATTATGTTCGCGGATTTGGCATTAAGGTTCCATAAACCGGGGATTTGGATTAATCCAAAATGATCTGTATTATCGATGGAGACACGCGCCTATCGAGCACTTGATAAAAATATCGATGCCGCTCGGGTTGTAAATTAATATAGTTTTTTGAAAAATCGGAGTCCTTCGCTTGAGATGCTCCGGGGTTAAAAATAACTCTAAAAACAGATTGGCCACTTATTTTTTTAGAACGCGATTTCAATGTTATATTTTACTTTTACGTTAAAAGCGACGTCATGTAGATAAAATTTAACAAGTCGCAAAGGGCATTTCTTACAGTTTTTTGTACGTAGTTTTCCTTTATTGCAGCAATGTATCATTAACAGTTTACAAGACAAATACAATACAGGGAGGGTTAAAAAATATTAAATGTGGACTTGGGCAGACTTAATTCAGATAATTCTGTCCAATGTTAGTTATTAAGAAAGTTTTTCTTTCGAATAAAAAATATGGTTTTCTAATTACTTTACATATATTTACATTTATATTTTCAACATTTAAAATTAATGCTATGGACTGTAAAAGAAGAAGAAATAAGCAATTAAAGAATTTTTTTATATGCATAGTAACCTTAAATTGATGTTTATAAATTTGCAGAGCTTTATCACATTTTTTAATATTTAGAGTAAGAGCTTTACAGTGTAAGAGAGGTTTTTAAAAAAGTGTCCGGCTAAATTATAATGTAAATAGAACATTAAAAAACAATAAACAGATATCTGAAACGGTTTAACAGATCAAATTTAGACCACAAATAGCACAATTTAGCGCCCAAAACTTTTTTTAACCAGTTTCTTTAATTTTTTGCTCAAAAATGATACTTATAAATGAAAAACTACTGTTTTTGGAGCTGTTTGAAGAAGAAAAAACAACTAGAAAGTAAAAATAGTGTTGATATTTATAACTTTTATGACGGAATCAAATATTTTATTCGAGAGTCTTAAACTGCTTTAGAAATAATAATTAAAAAAAAACAATGTTTTGGGACCTCCGGTCGATACACGTTTATTAACCAAACTAACGCTAATTTTTTAATATTTTATTTATCTTAGAAATTAGGGAACACCCTTTTTACAAAGGGTCTTCAAGAATGAAGCCAGCACAATAACATCACCACGGTTACATGCTATGCTTATAGTCGAAATTTTTGAAGCGAATAGTCGAATTTACCACGAAATAATTGTTTCGACTCCAATTTTTCCATCTCTTAACTAGCCGTAAAATGCCGCCGGTAAAAATGCCTCTCGTTTAATTTGTTAGTTGCTATCTAAATAAATTCTTTGCACGCAAAGAGAAATTATCGCCAATTTGAATAAATATATTTTTTCCATACAATTGCCCCGGAAATTCGGCCCCTTTTCAAAAGGGTACTCTAAAAAACATCAACGAAGAAAACAATCTACGACGCGCGCGCGCCAATAACCAATGATTTTGATAACCGCGGATTACTCTAAATCTCTCGATTTATTGGTCCCTAAAATCTTAAATCGGCAAACAAAGGTATAAAAACGATCCAATTGCGACGAGCAAGTCAGGTATCCGAAGTCATGAGGGCGATAACGCTTGCTGCGGCCATTTTGGCCATCATGTCCGACAGTCTCGCCAACGCGAGAAGTGTCGAGTACGATGGTACCCTCGTAATGGTTCATACGGTGAGCTAGCTACCATTATACCAAACGACTACGTCTACCCCAGAGGTAAAATATACCTGTTTTTAATCAGCTTTTCAGGCACGGCGATCGCACCCCTGACGACGGCGGATACGAAAGTAATCCTTATAACGACGAACAGTTCTACGAACCGTTGGGCTGGGGACAACTGACCAACGTAAACACACCTTTACTCTAACTTCACTCTTTTACTCATAGTCATTTTAGGAAGGCAAAAGGAGAGAATACCGCATCGGTACCACCTTGCGGCAGAGGTACAACGACTTCCTTGGCGATGTCTACGACGTGACTCTGTTGGATGCACGAACCACCAACGTAAACAGAACGAAAATGTCAGTGGAGCTGATGTTGGCCGGTCTGTTTCCCCCTAAAGACGACCAAATCTGGTTACCCTGGCTTCAATGGCAACCGATCCCATACAATTATTTAACGTTGGACAGGGTAAACTCGTTCTGGTCTTGGATCGCCGACCGTTAATTTATTGCTTTAGGAACTCCAATCTGTTTGGTTATGTCGTAATTATGAAACACTCCGCAAAGAGTTGTTGGCCAGCGATGAGATACAAAAACTTTTTACTCCCTATCAGTCCATCTTTTCGTACGTCAGCAATTATACCGGGCTAAATGTGACTACACCAAATGACATTTTTGGTTTATACTGGGTACTAAAAACACAGGTGATATTTTTTTTCCCACCATGAATGTGTTAATATTAAACAATTTCACAGCAAGAATATGGTTACCCGTTAGAAGATTGGACCAAAGAAGTTTTCCCGGAAGCTTTTGAGACGATTGTCAAAGACGTATACTATTTAGCAACCAACACTACCGCTCTCAGAAAAATTGCCGGAGGTAAAACCGTATACCACCAAACAACACTAGAATAAATTCAAGCGTATGCATATAGGATTTTTGCTGAGAAAAATATTGGAGGACTCTAGAGGGAAAATCGATGGAACGTTGATTCCCCCGTCGAGGAAGTTATTCATCTATTCCGCCCACGAGATGAACGTCGCTACTTTCCTTGGCACTTTAGGAATCTACCCGGGCGACATCCCCGAATACGGCTCTCACGTGCTAGTAGAGCTGCACAAAATTAACGGCCAGTTTGGCTTTAAGGTGAGCACTTGTGACGCTGTTATACTTTACGGTCACAACATTGCGTTTGTCTCATTAGTTCTACTACCAAAACTGGCAGCAAAGCGATCCCCAGTTGATGATCATCCCTGGCTGCGAATCCTTTTGTAAGATGGAACTGTTCGAGGAACTTGTCGCGGAACTGGTTCCTTCCGACGATGACTGTGAAACTGCTTAGTTATTGATAATAATAAATGAATCTGTTCGAGTTGGCAATATTTTATTGCAATTAACAATTAAGAATTGAAGTTTCTGAAAAGGCTTAAATTACCAAAATAATAATTGACATTGAACCAGTCAACAGATGTCAAAACCTTGCGTCGGAGAAGCCGGAAATTGGAATAATACATATTCAAGTTTTCAAAGTTTTCTTACTTCAGAGACTAGTAACCTGCGAGTTCTATACTGCTATGCATGACTTTAATTAAAAACTTATTCTCTTAATCGTATGGAAGCACTTAAGAAGGTGTGTTTTCATTTAGCCCTATCTCAAAAGGAAATCCTTATTCCATAAAAAAAATGAATCCAGAAGAAAAGAACTGATTCCGTAACATCGACACCATTTCCATTAGCGGCTAGCAACGGCATGTGTCTCCGTTGTTAAGGGTGGAACAAGAAGTCGAGAAGAAACATTCAACAAACAACAAACTTCTCCAAACACTCGTTCGTTAATCAAACTTGTTAAGTTATAAAACAGTTTCATTTTTCTGCCATTACTGGTTTAGCAAAAAAAAAATACCCATGGAACTCCAAACACAAAAAAGGCAAAAAAGAAATATCTATGTATACAATGTATCTATGTATGGGTTTAATAAAGTGTTTTTTTGGTTTGTGTTTTGGATTTAAATTAAAATTTTGCCTAGGCAATTCTGTCATCTACGCACTCACCTCCAGTGGAGTGCTTATCGCAGTGATCTCAGTAAACCCCACTATGTCGCTGACATGGTAATTAGCCTTTTAATAGACCTTTTAGTAAGCATTTTATGTAAGTAAGTAACTGAGTAGCCTTGGGGAAGTTAGAACTGTAGAACTTTTAATTGAATTTGAATCATTGCATATTTAGGCATCATATATTACTAATAATAATCAATATCGGAGTAATCAGAACGTGACGCGACGTCTTTTTTATGATAGCTTTTATGACGTTTGTCAAACTCGCTGCATAATAGATTATTTTCAACTTGAAGTAATAAAGAGAATAGAATAGAAGCATACTTAACTTAATAACTAAAAATAATAACATATATCACAGTAACATATGTTACAACTTACAACTAATATCAATAATCCAAGAATGTATCACAGTAGTACAAGCACACAACATAGGTACACAAGAGGCACAAAAGCTAAAAAAGATGTTATAGAATCCATTTTGAGACAGGTGTAATGTTAAATGAAATTCATATTTTATTATTATAAATTATGGTAGCTGCTCCGTTGTGGCGACTGTGTATGCCTGATATCAAAATCATCATAAAGGACCATATAAACTATGGGACATATAAATGGAGCCACTACAAGTATATTTGAGTTGGAATTTTGCATAAAGATGCATTTTTTGTGAAACATATTCCACACGGAGCTGCCATATAAGTTTTTGATCGATCTGGAATTCTGGGAATTTTATACATTTATTTGCAATATCATTAGTAAGCGTTTTAGTTTTCCGTGTTACTTTTACCGCACGACAGACTTTTTTTTGCTGCAATTTACTGTTAGTGGTAGTCTCAGGAAAATTGAAACAGAAATTTTAAAAAAGTTTCGTTTATTCCATATCTATTTTTTGACCAAACTACGCAGTCTCACAGTCCTCATCGGAAGGAATCAGTTCCGCGATGAGTTCCTCGAAAAGTTCCATCTTGCAAAAGGATTCGCAGCCAGGGATGATCATCAACTGGGGATCGCTTTGTTGCCAGTTTTGGTAGTAGAACTAAAGAGACATACCCAATGTTGTTTCCGCGGAGTACAACAGCGTCACCAGTGCTCACCTTAAAGCCAAACTGGCCGTTAATTTTGTGCAGCTCTACTAGCACGTGAGAGCCGTATTCGGGGATGTCGCCCGGGTAGATTCCTAAAGTGCCAAGGAAAGTAGCGACGTTCATCTCGTGGGCGGAATAGATGAATAACTTCCTCGAAGGCGGAGTCAACGTTCCGTCTATTTTCCTTCGAGAGTCTTCCAGTATTTTCCTCAGCAAAAATCCTATACGTTTGTAGTTTACTCTAGTGTTGTTTCACGATAAGCGGTTTTACCTCCTGAAATTTTTTTGAGGGCTGTAGTGTTGCTTCTCAAATAGTATACGTCTTTGGCAATCTTCTCAAAAACTTCCGGGTAGACCTCCTTGGTCCAGTCCTCTAATGGGTACCCATATTCTTGCTGTGAAGTAATTGAACATTTAAATTATCACGTTCGTGATTCAAATAGGATTATTACTTGTGTTCTCAACGACCAGTATAAACCGAAAATGTCATCGGGTTTGGTCACATTAAGCCCGGTATAATTGCTGATATAGGAAAAGATGGATTGATAAGGCGTGAACAGTTCCTGGATCTCATCGCTTGCTAATAACTCGTTGTAGATTGCATTATAGTTGCTGCAGGTCCAAGAGAAGAGTTCCTGCAAAATAACATTAGCTGGCGATAATACAACACCAGAACGAACTTACTTTGTCGAAAGTTAAATAATTGTAAGGGATAGGTTGCCATAGCAGCCAGGGTAACCAGATTTGGTCGTCTTTGGGCGGAAACAGACCGGCCAACATCAACTCTACAGACATTTTCGTTCTGTTGTAGTTGGTAGATCGCGCATCCAACAGATCGACGTCGTAGACGTCCCCGAGAAAGTCGTTGTACCGTTGCCGCAAGGTAGTACCGATACGGTATTCCCGCCGTCTGCCTTCCTAGAATGACTATGAGCAAGAGCGTAGCATTAAAGTTTTGGAATCATTACGTTGGTCAATTGTCCCCAGCCCAACGGTTCGTAGAACTGTTCGTCGTTATAAGGGTTACTTTCGTATCCGCCGTCGTCAGGGGTCCGATCGCCGTGCCTGAAAAGCTGATCAAAAATAGGATTAGTGAATTTGGTTTCAGCTCTGCAGCAGACGTCGACGTACGTTATATTGGTAGTTGGTCATAAACTCACCGTATGAACCATTACGAGGGTACCATCATATTCAACACTTCTCGCTTCGGCGAGACTGTCGCACAAGATGCTCAAAATGGTCGTAGCAAGTATGATCACCCCCATAACGCCGGATACTTGACTCGCTCATGGCAATTGGACCGCTTTTATATGCTTGTTTGCCGATTTTAGGGTTTAGAGCCCAATAAATCGGCGGATTTGGATTAATCCGTTGTTATCGAAGTCATCCAATTTCGGGCACGCGCCTCGCACGTTTTTTCATTCCTAGCGGGAACCGCATTTTTGGGTCAATCGTATGGAGTACGAATAATTATTCAAATTGGTGATAATTTTGTGAGGTGCTCGAATTTGAATTTCAGTACCTTTTAAGATTTAAAGTTTATTTCGCTGGCATAAATAAATGATAAAATAAAAAAGTAAATATGTTAAAATACTGGACCCACGTCTTGGACTCAATAGATAAGAGATTTGTACAAAAATGCCAATAGTGCTGTTCAAAATTAATTTATGGGGTACGAGGTAGTCGAGTAACTCTTATAATATTACCGATATCATTGAATTTGTCCTATTTTTCGAGCCGCGGAAAAAAAGAAATAAATTATTGCTGTATCGCTTCTATTCTGTTCAAGTTCAAGAGAAGAAACATATTTTAATTTGAAACGGGAACGAATTTTGCGATTGGTCTCATAAAGGAACCACTTGAAGATAGCAGACGCAATACTCGAGTTTTTTCATCATACCCAGACATGACTTTTACAATCCTGGCTAAAGGCAGTTGAATAGGCGAAGTATCTTCATTCCTAACTAGGATTAAATCATCGATATTGAGTGGATTCCTTTCTTTAAACCACCTGAGTCGGTTTTGTATTCGATGAGATATTCTCTGCTTCACGGCTTCCAGAAAAAATATTGGGCCTGGGTAAAATGATAGTTAATTCACATTTATTCACAATTCACAACTGCAATCATGATATGGCTAATGGGGGATAATTTGATATTTTGTCTCATTTTGGGATAAGAAATCTAAAATTGGTTGTTACCCAATTGCCTTTTTTTTCTGAAAAAGAAGTAGCGTTCTCTTAGATCATTATTCGATCCAGTAAAATTGGTGGGAGTGTCGCTAAATATAATTAAGGATCTGGAGATAAACCTCTTTAACGTAATCCGAAAGACACCAATACGTAGTCTATATAACAGCAATATAATAATTGAAGGGTGGAGGAGAAAGGAACTCGAAAGGAACTCTTATTACATCTGATAAAATAAGTGAATTTGTCCTGTTTAAAATATACCTACGGTGTTTTTAGTGTACATTAAAATAAAATAATTTTACTGCACTCTTCTTCAATTTAAATCGACTTTATTCAGAATATGTTTAATTTAGCTTTATTCAGAATATGTTTAATTTAGCTTGACCAATACGACTGTGAAGTATAAATATTAAGGCTCAACCAGATTCTATAGTTCTGTTGTTGTCCTTCAAATGGTTTTATTTAATAGTATCAGACGGTAAACTGAACACTGCTAAATTCCACACTTCACATCACCCTCAAAAAAACTATGTAACTACACTCCATATATTATTAATTCTTTATTATACTATTAATAATTATATATTATTAATTATTTCATCCAAGTATTTTAGCACAATTTGTCCTAGCGCATTCGCCACTCAAACAATGCACATATTGTTCGACACATCTTTTTGGTTATTGGCTTTTATTTTAATCATTTTTTATTTATTAATCCACACACGAAGTATACATTAGGAAAGATTATGAATGGACTATAATGAGATAAGTACGCTGAGGCTAAGTACTTTTTTACTTGACTTAACTATCTTCAATATCTAAATTATTTATCATCGATTCTGCCTATTCCCTCGATATGTAGTCCTGTGAAAACTTGAGTGTTAGCGTAACTCTCTGGTAGGCACATTCCGACTAACTAAAGCCGACAATTTTGGACAATCGAACACACCATTTGCTAGCTTGAAACATAGAAGAGCTGCAGCATGGCGACTATACGTTAACATTGACCACATTGGAATTGGAATCCCTTCATTTCAAGTTTGACTTTGTGCTATCATAACCAGAATTTATGGCACGTCTATTTTTCGGAAAACTGAAATCTGTGATAACAGATTTGCAACCGAACTACAACAAACTGCTGAATGATCTATATGAATGGGCTTCTCATAGGCTAAGATACATTTACCAAATTTTGGGTTTGCGAGCTAATCTTAAGAAGGAAATAGAAGGTCTCATATCTGACTAACGACATTTATATACTTTGTTGCCGTTCCTTTAGTTTTGAAAATTGCGCTCTCAAATAAAAAAGACCACAAACCCATTAACTTGGGCGGGTAAATATATCACCCACTTATAATAAATTTGCGACGTTTTAAAGTGAAAATGTTCCTAATCTGCGAAATAATAAACACGTTTCACTCTGCTATCTTTCGCGTACGTCGTCTATCCATCAAGACAAATGGAAAACACTTCTATTTTCAAGGTTTATTTTTGCGTCCATGGCAAAATTTCGCGACCGGCGAAAGTACAATCGAAAAAAAAAATATTAACGCGATATTAACTTTATTAAGTCGTAAATTTTATTTGTCGCGGTTGCATCATTTCTCCAAATTCGATGACACTCACGAAAGCTGCATGTGATACCTCTACAGGTGTATCGTGATAACCGATAACATAATTGGTCAATAATAATTATTATTGCCGCTCAAAAAGTTTCGGTATAAAAAAGCTAGTGTTTCTCTCGAGTTCCCCAAAAATTAGTAATAACATAACGTATTATTAAATTTTAGTAATTCGTTTATGTCATACATTAATTTTAAATAATCGACCATTTTTTTTTAGAATTTCCGAAACGGATGCTATTAAATTATGGAAAGCATTGGTATGAGCAAATACGATTGAGTTCTCCTTCAGCCCTCAGCCTCGTCTACTCTGTAGCAGAGTACTGCGCGCCCGTATGGATCAACAGCAGCCACACCAAACTAGTGGATGTACAACTAAACAACTCAATGCGCACCCTTTCGGGCACCATAAAATCAACACCGTTGTACTGGCTACCCGCCCTAAGCCATATCGAGCCACCGGACCTTCGCCGCTCCCGTGCCCTGCTCCGAGAATGCAACAAAATAATAAGCAATCCGGATCTTCCCATAAATTAAGACTTCCCAGCTGGGAGACAATGCCTGAAATCGAGGCACTTGCCTATTGCCACGGCTATCGATCTTGCAAACTCACATTTCAATGTTAAAGAAAGCTGGCAACAAAGGTGGCTCCAGGCCGCGCCCCCTGAATGGCACCAGGTTCTTAATGTGAACAAGCCACCAAGTGGCTTCGATTTGCCCCGTAACACTTGGTCGAAACTAAATAGAGTTCGCACGGGCCACGGACGCTGCGGTGATTCACTTTTCAAATGGGGAATAAAGCAGTCTCCTCAATGTGACTGCCAAGATGGTATTCAGACGATCCGCCATATCTCGACCGAGTGTCCCAATCGCGCATACCCCGGCCCCCTCTCAGACTTTGTTGGACTCTCTAAAGCGGCTATCCAATGGCTGAATGGACTGGACGTCGCTCTCTGAAATTATTTGTTCTATTTGTTCTATTTTTATGTCTATATTGTGTATTAACGTAGTAGACTTGCTGTGTTATGATTGTGTATATGTATATTTTCGTATCTAGAAATATGTGTCCATTTATATTGTATAGAGTGTATAAAGCGCCATACGCTAAATAAATAAATAAAATTGAGTTCTTTAAATTATCCAAGAAATTTATCAATCTTTTACATTCCAATATAAGATTAATAGCTGTAATTAGTTTTGATTACGATGTATTGTAGCAGTGGTAAAGTAATAATTATCAATCAGCTGCTTTGGTAACGATATTTGACAATTTAAAGTTATAAATACATCTTTGCTGTTTGTTGTGTTTCTGCAGGTTATAGATGGCATCGTTACATATTTTTGTACCATTAGAATCAAGAGTGTCGCATCTTGTCTACTACATTAAGCAGTCCTTTTTTTTTTATCTATAATGAGGTTGAAAGTTTTACGTGTTAAATTTTTTTCTATTTTACTATATCTAAAGGCAAATTAACAACATTGTCGGAGTTCAGAAAACAAGTTGCTGTATCATATAAAAATAATGCAAAGTGCATGGGACCCAAGTGTAATACTTTTTGAGCTTTTGAGTAATCCGATTCAACTGTACACTCAAAACAGGATAGAAAAAAAATAAAACTGCTTTCAGACGTCCATACTTGTAAAATTGAAATAGAAATAATTATTTATTCCAATATTTAGATCATGTTCCATGTTTAGTAAAAAGTGCCAAAATTATGCATTTTATTTGCGTTGTCGCAAAAGTTTTTAATTTGCGTAATTATTAAGGTACATTGAGGCTCACATTATTATTCGATTGAGCCGCTAACTACACTATTACACACTACCACAGGTTTTATTATCCCCCAAGGCAGATGCACAGATGGAAATGCAAATTCTTATAAAATAATGTCTTTTTAAATTACGTTTATTTGGTTGTTTATGAAGCAAGAACCGTAAATACACGTTTAGCTTGGTACTTTAAAATTTTAAATGGCATTTTAAACAAATAGAATTTAAATTTATTTTTGCTCTACTCTACTCTACCAGGATAGGTTCACATTATTTTTGTTGTGCAATTCTTTATTTTATTATCAGTATTTCCGACAGTATTTAAAAAAAAACACTTTATACATGTGCTATTATCTTGATTCGGGTTTAAAGGCCGTCGTCGATTGGAATTACTTCCTAACGTTTCGCCTGCAAGAGTGGCGAGCTTCTTCAGAGGTCCTTCCATCTCCGATGTTGGACGTAGACTGACGATTTCTCCTGCGCAGGTTGTATTTATGCCGATTGGTGGTGGGCGGGGCTTGTTCCGCTTCGGTTGGTCTCGGGATATCGATCGGTACTGCTCGGGCGTTCCTAAGGATCGGGTTCCAGATTTGGTTGAGTCTAAGGGTCTCCTCCTTTCGGTTGAAATTGTGTGGGTGTTTTTGTATCTCAATGGCTTCCCTGACTAGTCTGTTGTGATAGCCGTTGACCGATGCTAGTAACTTACAGCTCTCAAATTGTATCCTGTGTTCCCCGCTGCCCAGTGCGTGTTCAGCTACTGCAGACATCTCTGTATGTCCTAGCCTGCAGCTTGCTTTATGCTCCTTAAGTCTCGTTCCCATTGATCTCTTGGTAGTTCCCATGTAGACCTTTCCGCATGAACACGGAATGCGGTAGACTCCTGCAGCTGAAAGTGGTCTGCTGGATCTTCTTTGTAGGCTTAAAGATTGTTTTGATGTCGTGTCTTTTCAATACTCTGCCAATCCTGTCGGTGACACTCGGAATATACGACAGATATGCGTGGGAGGTGGAGGGTCGTTGTTCGGTATCCCGTGATCTTGATGATCTTGAGTTCATTGATCTCTCGATCTCCCTCTTGCTGTAGCCATTTGCCTCGAACGCAGTTTTCAGGTGTTCAAGTTCCATCTGGAGGTTCTCCGGTTCGCACATCCTTCGGGCTCGTTCTGTCAGGGTTCTGATAACCCCATACTTTTGACTTGGGTGATGGTTGGATAGAGCATGTAGGTATCTGTCCGTATGGGTTGGTTTTCTGTACACTGTGTGGCCCAGTGGCTCCAACATCGGAGATGGAAGGACCTCTGAAGAAGCTCGCCACTCGTGCTAGCGAAACGTTAGGAAGTAATTCCAATCGACGACGGCCTTTAAACCCGAATCAAGATAATAGCTTATCAACGGGCCGCGAAAGCCTTAACCAATTTATCAACTTTATACATGTGTTTGGCTTTTTAAGCTGTTTCAATTTGTATGTAAATTCATTTTAATAACGATATACAGGTTCTCCAAATGACATACTATTTTCAGTTCGGATTTTTGATTTAGAATAATAATGTATAATTCGAGAAACAAAGGTCCAGAAAACAAAACAAGGGTATATGTAACAGATCTTCCAAATTCGCATTCAAAAGTCGCAATTTTCTTCCTGTTTTTGCTTATGACATAGTTTAGGTGGCAACCTTTCAAACCGACCAAGGAAAATCCAAACTTCGATCTGACTAGCCTAAGTTTTTGTCAACTGTCGACCATCTTTAGGATTCCCGAGAATATTACTGGGCTAGGAATAACCTGCAGTTTGCTCGGGCCACTTCACGATGTTTCGGTCGCTTTTGAACAACCGTTAAAAAACATCGTTATCTTTGTCATGCAAAAATCAAGGACAAACGACATGTCAATTTTTTAAAAATTGACATGTCGACAATATCTAGATATCTGGATAAATTTAAGATCTGCCCAACCATTCTATGGTTCTTATTTTAGTAAAACAAATAGCCGCTGATTTTTTAAAAATTGCGGTGGTGCGCAATGAATCCCATACTGAATCCAAGATCAAACTAGTGCTACAAAATCGCACTTCAAAGATCCGTTTCTTTATTTTGAACAAGATTATTTTTAATCATTTTGTTGTCGTTTAATTTTCACTGATACAAAACACTGTCGATAATTCAGAGCAAAGAAGTAATCTGATGTTCACCGCATCGTAGCTAACTTTACGACTTACCGTAAACCGTGTTTCAAAAAATACTGGTCTTGTCGCATACCTCCGGCCGGCATACTACAATTTTCTTCAATTTTGTTAGTCACCGATGCATTCCACATCGCAATATTTATAGCTGCCGAAGAAATATTTTAACTATTTCCGCTATCGGCAAATATTTTAAGCGTTCGCGGAGACATTTACAATTAAAATTCACCCCCGTTCAAGGTTTACAGGGCCTTTCAAGGTGAATATAAAAGTCAGATCGTTACACCAGGGCTACTATATAATCCAATAAAATTTGTATTCGTCTTTTATTGTTTTTTTATTCTATATTTATTATCAATTTCAAAATGTTTTTTTTCCACCTCTTTTTCTCTGCCCTGCCGTATTAATAGGTTTCCAAGCGCACCGTGTGGAAATCAATAACGCTCACGAAATATTTAATTTTAATTTGCTTGTTTGCGGCGAAAATTTTATAATCATTACGGCGGGAATTATTATTAAAAATTTTTTGTATAAAGAAAATTGCGCTCCCATATAAGTTAGCCGAAAATGATCGATGATTCGTATAGCAACCTTTAACGACATATTGATCGTCTGAAAATCGATTCCCGTAAGTGACCTAAAATGTTTCGATTTTAAATTTTCGGGGGGCCGCATTCACATCCGTCTTATCTACTTTCGATAGGATTCGCGTCACCGTAATCAAAAATACAAAAGCTCGGGTGGAATACTTAATAGCTTGAATTTTTCAGATTCTAAAACAGTTCTAGCTGGGCAATGAAATGAGTTGCATACTCACACTGACGCGAGGTAAGTGCTATTGATTTTATATTACTAATCATTGGTCGTACGTATTGGTGTCTAGGCAAATTTGAAAGAAAAAATCGTCCAGACCCATGCAAAGATCACTCCAGCCAGCTAGTCAGAAATTTACATTATAAAAAATTAAGTAACCAATAATAACGAATCAATCGGGAATCGAACGCAACAAAGAGGTCAAAAACAAATAAATTTTAAGCTGTCGAAGTTAAAAAATTATCATATAGTCTGTTTCAAAATTTGGTAGGTGACCAAAGTGTTAAGATTTCAAGTTTTTTAAAGTTTTTCTTCATAGGTTTTGCAGTTTTTGAGTTATTTGAACTGTGAGAAACATGTCTCTTATTTGGGTTTCTAAATTATCAGTCAAATGTCAAGCTCACTTTGACATAATATTTGATCGCATACATGATTCATTCTTTATCTATGTTTCCCGCTGCGATGCAAAATAGCGCCGTAGTATTATGCTTTGGGATTAAGGAACAACGGCATCGCAAAATCTATAGCGTAATCGTTATAAAATCTTATTAGTTCTTAAAAACAATAAAAATGATCCGATTTACGGTCTCAATAAATCGCCAAATTGCTCCCCAATATATATTATGACGGATACTCCAAACGGCCTTCGTAGATATCCCATACGCCATTCCGAGACCCTATACACATAAACATGCGACAACAATGGATAATGCACAATTAGGTTTGCTTCTATATAATATATTGCACCGATAAAGCTCGAAAACCAGATATAAAGCACGACTTTGAATTTCCACAGCGCGTTCCGCGACGAAATGCTGACATACGGGGTAGTTTGCGCGGCAATTTTCGCCCTATCTACGGGATTCGTCGTCTTGCCATTCACCATTTTGCCGCGTGCTCAAAAAGCCGACTCGACGGTGGTATTATCCCACGTCGTAAGTATAAAGTTAAAAGAAAAAAACAATGCCATTAATTTTCTACGAGGGAACCCACCGAAAACATCTACAATTATACCATATTATAGTGAATTATGCCCAAAATTTAAGTCCTTACTTAGTGGAAAGCATAAACTTCGCCTAGAACATGAATATAATCCAAACCAACTAGATCGATACTCCACAGTCTCCTCTGTTTCCATTATATCTTGAACTCTTCTAAACTCTTTCTAAATTCTTTTATTCTTTCATTTTTTGTTTGGGTAAGTCTTCAATTCTCTTGTTACGTACCAAACTCGATATACCTTTTTTAGGTGATTTCATTTCATAAAATTCCATTTAAGCCATAGATAAATTTTGTGGGACACTAGTATTTCTAGTTCTCTTAATTTTATGATGCCCATACCGATAACCACGTGATTCAATCTTACTTTTTTTATTTTGTGATGATTTCATTTTATAGAATTTATAGTTTAACAAATTCACAACTTTTGCAATCGGTTCTTTTTAGAGCCGAGCCGAGTGAATATTAAAAAAATCAGCCTGTTGGGTTCTCTATTGTAATAGATCTCTTTTCTGGTAACGATTTTGTAAACAATGTAGGTATTGCCCTCGTACACAAATAATAAAAGCGTTATGACAGTTATTTAGGCACGGCAACAGAACCCCCGAAGTGTCAGAGCTGTATCCAAAAGACCCATACCTAAACTACACCTATTATCCGTACGGAAGGGGACAGCTCACAAATGTAAGTTTGGTTTGCAATATTCTAAAAAATATATTCTGAACATATTCTCCCACTATTCGCTCACGTCAACATCATTAGTCCACGAATTGACCCTTGCCGCACAATTTAATTAACAGCGGCGTATTTTAAATTAATTATTGTAAATTGAAGTGAACTTTTTTCACAAAAATGTTTACACTTAGCTGTCAAATGTCAATTTTAAGTCAAAACAAAATAATTAAATTCACCATTTCTAATTTGTCGTTATTGATTCTGTCTAAAAGTAAATACATACGTACATAGTATATTATACATACATAGTATATTATAAAAACAGGTGGGGTGGGGTGGGGTAAGTGATTTAAAAAGTTCATCAAACGTTGCATATTATACTTTTTCTACGACCGATAGTTTTTAGGTACATTTTGGCAAAACAACACAAATACATTCACTGACATGACCGTCAGAATTGACAAACGTCAAAACTCAAACCATGGGTAATATATCCGATTGCTCCCAAACCTGTGTTTTAATATCCCGGAAATGTCCGAATTGGCTCGGATCTCTGGGAAACGAAATTGACGTGGGATTAAAAAAACTTTATTTTCAATTTCATTTTATCCATTTAAAAATCACTTTTCTTCTCTTTCTGCCTTTCAATTTTCGTTTATTCTGTATTTTTTGATGCTTTCAAATAATTCTTGTCGGTGTTAAGGCTGGAAAGCGAAGGGAATACTCGATCGGAGAAGCATTACGAGGGCGGTACGAAGATTTCCTTGGTCAGTACTACATTCCGGAAGAGCTAGATGCCAGAAGTACAGACAGAAATCGTACCAAGGCCTCGTTGCTATTAGCTTTGGCCAGTTTATACGCCCCGAGGAAGAAACAGGTATGGAGGAGAAGTCTGGACTGGCAGCCTGTCCCTTACAACTACGTGCCGGAAAGGTACGACGCTGTGCTATACGGTACAAGCTGTCCGACTTACAAAACCGAGTACGCGTCCGTACAACAATCGGACGAAGTACAAGAAGAATACAAAACCTACAAAGACACATTCGATTATATCGCTGAAAACTCCGGGCTAAATGTGACAACCTACGAGGACGTCTACAACCTGTACTTTGGACTGTCCACTGAAGAAGAGTTCGGTCTAGCTCTGCCGCGTTGGACTCGTCAGGTGTGGCCCGCGACTATCAATGAAATCGCGTACAAGCAGTACTACATCTACACCAAGACGCCCACTCTTAAAAAAATGGCGGCTGGTGAGTTGGCGGTACATTCCAAATGTCATTTAATAGCGAGCTGACCCTTAGGTTACCTACTTCAGAAGATTATAAATGATTCGCAGAGCAAAGCGACAAATCAAAACGACAAAAAGTTGTACTTGTATTCCGCTCACGAGAACAACATAGGACAGATGCTGGCGACGTTGGATTTGTTCGAGTACCCACACGTACCGACTTACGGGACGTATCTGATCTTCGAAATCCACTTAGTCGATGGTGTTTATGGAGTGAAGGTGAGGCAATGCGGAAGCGGTTAGCGTCGTCTTAAATTTAGGGCATTTTCTAGATCTACTATCAGAACTACGAGACGGCGGAGCCGAAATTGCTCAAGCTGGCGGCCTGCGAAGAGTTTTGCCCGGTGGATAGTTTCAAGGAGTTGGTGGCGGAGTATCTACCCGAGGATGGTCTGTGTGGATCTTAGTCTATGATTGTTGTTCCTAAGTTAATAAAATGATATTAGTACGACGATTTTTTGGAAAACCCACAGGCCGATGGAATGTGCTAAGTGTCAAAGTCAGCGCGGGAGAATTGTTTGACCTTTTGCCTGTTTGCAATTGAAAAACTCGAGAAAACATTCCATTCCAAAAGGGAGAAAGACATGGTTTCTCCTTGTCGGTACAAACCAAAACTTGCCTGGCATGGGATATGCAATATTTCAGTTGAAATTTCGCTTTCATCCAATAAAACCGCGCCTTTCAATAATCAATGTGACCGTTGCATTATTTCGTCAACATAAGTCCATTATTGCTAATTCAATATTGGGAGAAAGACTATTATGGAAAAATCTTCAAAAAAATGAAATAAAAAATAAAATTTCAGATGTAATAAATAAAATTATCCCTCATCGAAGACCTGATGAAACTTTTAGAGAGTGTAATCCTTGAAAAGTTCTTTCTCGGGTAATATCTCGTCATCATTGAAATAAAATTAATAATATAGAAATTAATCTAAAAATTAATAGATCAATTTTCTGGGAAAAACAACTTAAGATCGCTGGTCGGTTAGTTTGCGCTTGGATTGAAGATCATTCCTTTCTGTACGAAAATGAAATAACTGCTTGAGGTGCATCAATTTTATTTCCTCTCTCGTGCTACGCTATATCGCTTAGTCTAAGCGTTCGCATGTAATGAGAGTGTTGCCGTGATTTTAAGACTGATTGTCATCTACACAAATTTAGTCACGACATCTTCTTTAATCAGTCACATTAAAATGTACGATATAATTACAGCCAATTTATCGATCATTTTATCATTTCTTAACGTTACCCAATAACGCGTTAATTTTATCCAAATACATTATTTATTTTTTAGCGGCCGTATAAAAATCCACGGTCTCCTCAAAATCGATACAGTGCGTGCTTTAAACCAACATCTATGCGTAGAAAATACACTGATATATATTTTTTTCAAAATTGCTGGTTACATTGAGGTCGCATATAAATGTGTCAGATTAAGTTCCTGGGTAATACTACACACGAAACTTTACAGATCTTTTGCAAATCTCCAAAAATGTTTACCTAGAATATTCTGTCATTATGCATGTAAGTTTCCTTGTATATCCAAGTTTTAGTGAGTATATTTATAGCAAAACAGTAAAATTAGGTTTTACATAACTTCAAGGTAGGTGGTTCCTAAATGCTTTGCACATTGTATTCTGTGTTATTCCAGTGTAAAATTTCTACTATCTATGTGATCAAAATCCACCCAGGTAAAATTTAGCTCAAAAAATTATTCTGTCATAATATTCTAAATATATATTTTCTCTTCTTTCTGGATTTTTTTGGGGTATATAAGCGTCTCCACCGCCCAACTACCATTTTCAAAATTCTATAAAGCATCTTCTCTTAGGTAATAATTCCAGGTTCAAATTGCATTTGTCGTTTAAAATGTTTGAGTCAGTTTCCTAAGGAATTACGTAGGAATCATATATCAAAATTTAAAAATAGTAATTACGGACGCTTCCACTTCCGGCCCTTAAAATGATTCTCGGTAAAGGGTGGGCAAATTTGACACTTTTAAAAGAAGCGCTTTTTTCTGAAGGAGATAGGCGATAGGGTTATTTGGAATCGCTGCAACTTCATTGTTATGGAACGGAGAAAGATTTTATGAAGAATTTAATGGCTAATATATAATATTTTTAATACTGATATTTTTATTAGTTATCTACCGAAAAATAATTTTTTTATGGTACAATCTCTACATATTTAGATTAAAAAGAACTTAAAATTATCTTTCCAAAAATATAGCAGAGCATATTTTGAAATATAGAAGTTTTGAACTTTGAACAAATAAGCTGAGACACTACTAGAGAACACGAATGCGTACAGGTAGTTGGTAAATTGTTATTTTGGATGTAAAACCATTAGATTTTAATTTGACCTTTCAAGTATATTTCAAAGAATCGAGTGGAAATGCATATTCGATTACACTTTTCATCTAACGTTAATTTTGGAATGTTCTGTTCATATCTTTCGTGATTCAAGAGGTTGTTTTCTTTCAGGATATCGGCCGTAGCACAAATTGCTGGCTGTCTGCATTTTCTTTTAACTTTCATAAAACAAACTATAACATTTCATTCATCAAATTGATCCCTAAATCAAAACCGATCTACTAACAACCAAGTTCAGGGTTTAAAAATTACCAGTATACCTACATTTCTTTCTCTTGTACTATGAAAAAAACTCAATATTTTTGGAAAGGTAATTCCATGTCCCTTTTAATATTTTTCGAAGCGAGTCTCCCATATAAAAAATTGTACACTGAGAAAAAAAAATCATAAAATACTTGCATATTTTATGGTCATATGAATAGCACATAATTAAGGTACTTATTTTTCTTAGCCACGTCGTTTTTGATGGCTCTCGTCTTAGGCATACCCTAGTGAAAGAAGCGCACTTTCACTTACGCCAACGTCAGCCGAAATCCACAGCAGGCCCAGATAAATTCGCCTATAAAATTTGCGTCTCGCAAAACACTCGAGATTATCGATCTATTTTTACGTGTTATCGAGTATTTCGGGCCTCAAGAATGAACATTATCGGATCAGACACTTCCTGGGGCCTATAAATTTTGGAAAATCGATCTCCGTCGACAGTTGTTACGTCAACGCCCAACCGATCGCAAAAGCACCCGCAGCAACCTAGTTTCAGTACCTCGCGCAGGTGGAAACTTTAGGCCATCAACATGCGCTTCGCGGTGGGGTTGATTTTGGCGATTTCCTCGGTGCAACTGACCTACGAAGAGACGTCGGTCGATGCAGGATCTGAAACTTTGATCCTGACCCACGTGGTGAGTAAACGAGAGACATTAATCTCGGATTATTGCTCGTTGGATACTGGACGTTTCCGCTAACATAATATTTTCGTTATCTATACACATATTGGTAATTTCAAGTTAAAATTGTTTCTTCTTTGATCATATCAATCTTAATGATAGATCGTTATAACAAAGGCTAATTTCTCAAACAAAAGTTCAAATTTAATTCAAATTCAAGATAGGTACAAGGATTAATCTTGTTGGTGCTAGTAGCTACAAATTTTACATATCTCGTTGAGGGACTATTAAAAAAATAAATATTCAAAAAACATTACCTAAGAAAATGAATGAAAAATAAAAACCTATTGACACTGGTCGGTAAAAGGCACTGGAGGCTGTATAGATTGCTCTGAGAAATGCTCACTGAGCTAAGGGAGAAAGCTTTGGAGGTTGGATGGACCTGCAAGCTACTTGTCATTCCTAAAAAAGCTTTGACCATGGAGGGATTTTAACCACATTCACTAGAGAAAAGGACAATGCCGGTTTGAAAACAAAACAAGGAGAGGTACTCCAAGAATTAAAAAAGATGAAAATCGACTTTGGTGTTGTCCTTGAAACCAAGAAGAAAGGAAAAGGAAATGAAGTCATCGAAGAATATATACTTTTTAATGGGAGTGAAAGAGAGGTGTTAGAGCTTACAGAGGATTTGTAGTAGCGTAGATGCAGCCGTAGCGGTAGAAGAACATATAATAACTTTGGAAATAAATATCAAACATCAATTAACCGAATGCGTCTTAGAAACTTGTGCGAAATCATCAAAATTATGAATTTATATTTGCATTATAAGAACATCACATCTAATCGTGGTTAACATAATGATAAATTACAGAAAGCCGAAGTAATTAACAGCAAAAACAGTCCAATATATCCAAACATAAATATGATGTAGAAAATCTTAATTTGAAAACCTTTAGAGTGTTAAAAAAACAGAATGAAGGCAATCCGGAATAGTATTCGGAAAAGATAAATAATCTTCTTAAAAAGAAAAGGGAAGCTTATAAGTCTAAATAGAGGAGAAGATAGAACATAGGCTTGCTTGAACAGAGAAGTTAAAAATGGAGTAGCAAAAAGTACAAATAAAATGTGAGAACAGAAATGTGAAGAAGTTGATATATATACGGGAGGGACAAATATGACTGAAGCATGGAGATAGATAGGAAGTTACTAAAATAGTTTTAAATCCATCTTTAAATAATTAAGTGATCATTTTCAGCCACGAAACATTTGACTTCACAACTATCAAAATAATTAACATCATCCAAAATTGCGTATTTCTTGCCGACCTACCATCATAAAGCTAATACTTTCTGCCTTAATAACTTAATAACTTAAGCTTATCATTATACATTTGACACATTTTTAGCTTTGTTGTACTTAGAAAAACTAATTAATGTAATTTAGTATTTAAAATTAATTAAGTTTTAAAAAAATCAGAACTAGAAACTTGAAAACCAAAATGTTTTAACATTTAACAGAAACGTGTTAATAATTACAAAGTGGCAACATTTGCAATGCATGGTTAAAAAAAACTACCAATATTTTTTTCTTTACTCGCGACCGAAAGCATCTAAAATAAGAAAAAATTATGTATTTTTCCTTAATAGCCGAGGCTTATTCATTATTTTTTGTAAAAAAAACATTCAATGAGGTGTGATGAGATTTTTGTCTCATTATCCTAAACCCATTTGAAACTCAGTCCATTGAGAACTCATTATACAAACACACTGTGTACTGCGCGACTGCGAAAGATGCCATTTGCGAAATTTTCATCGAAATAATGATTGCTTTCTCGAAACAATTTCGCACATTTAGGTATGTGTAACGCACACACACACAAATACACATAGTTTGCCGAGAAAAAAACCAAACGATTTGTGAAATGGACTGTGGCAAGTGCGAAAGTGACTTGACGATCGAATGTAATGGGATATTATATTTCAATTAACTTTTTTAGCTTTTTTCATTTATTAGTCCACATTGGCAATCCCGTTTACAAATTTTAGGCCTTTTGCAGCTTTTTCGTCACGGAAACCGAACGGCTGACAGGCAGCACGAACTCTATCCCAACGACCCCTATTTAAACGAAGATTACTATCCATACGGCAATGGACAGCTGACCAAGGTAAATTTTTAATAATTAATTTAGAAAGCTTAAGTGCTGTGATTGACTCTAATAGGATAATTATATACAATGCTGTAAGGTTGTAAATATCTGCTAATAAATTTGTCAAACGAGATAAAGGCTTTCGCGGCCAACGTTTGACCTGTAAGTGTTTTTGTTCGGGCTTAATGGCCGTCGTTGAGTGGAATTTCTTCCTGACGTTTCGCTAGCACGAGCGTCTAGCTTCTTCTGAGGTGCTTTCTTCTCCGATGTTGGATGCAGAATGACGCGCTCCCGGCCTTAAGTTGTATTTATGCCTGGTGAGTCGTGGAGGGGAGGGGGCGGGGCATTTTAACGCATGAGTGGTTGTGACTACCGGGGCTGTCCTTGTGTTCCTTAAGATGGGGTTCCAAATTTGTTTGAGCTGCAGTGTCTCTTCTTTTCTATTGAAATTATTTGTAGGTTTATGGATTTCTATTGCTTCTCATACGAGACGATCATGATAGCCTAAAGTAGGCTTCCCCAAAAAGAATGTGATCCCCTTCACTGAACGCGTGTTCCGCTACTGCCGATTTGTCCGTTTGTTCCAGTCTGCAGTTTCTGTGATTTTCCTTTATCTTGGTTGCGACAGATCTTTTTGTCATTCCAACGTACACCTATCCACATGTACATGGTATGCGGTAGACTCCGGCGGCTGACAGTGGATCTCTCTTGTCCTTGGCTGATCTTAGCGTTTGTTGTATTTTCCTTGTTGGTTTAAATATTGTGTTAATATTCTGTTTTTTCAATATTTTTCCAATCCTGTCTGTCACTCGAGGAATAAAAGCACTCACAACCGTTAGTTGTTCACCCGGGTCTTGTCGTGAGGCAGTTCTGGGCCTCATAGCCTTATCGATATCAGATATCCTGTATCCATTTGATTGGAAGGCTTCTTTGAGGTGATCTAGTTCTGCTTCCAGGTGTTGTGCATCACAGATCCTCCGGGCACGTTCTGTTAAGGTTGTAATGATTCCTCTTTTTTGGCTTGGGTGACGGTTTGATAAGGCATGTAGGTACCTGTCTGTGTAAGTCGGCTTGTGGTACACTGTGTGGCTTAGTTTCCCATTGCATCTTTTTATTAGAACATCCAGAAACGCTATTAGCTGATTTTGTTCTGTCTCCATGGCAAATATTATACTTGGATGTTGAGCGTTTAGGTGGCCTAGGAAACGATCAAGTCTATCTCTTCCATGACCCCAAATTACAAAGGTGTCATCCACGTATCGGAGTCATTTTGATGGTTTGTATTCAGACGAGCTGATCGCTTTCTGCTCGAATTTCTTCATAAAGTAGTTGCCTATCACCGAGCTAAGTGGGCTTCCCATAGCTACCCCATCCGTCTGTTCGTAGAAGTCGTCATCCCATAAGAAGTAACTGCCCGTTAGGCAAGACTGGAATAGCTTGATAATGTCATCTGGGAAGATTCTTGCGATCAGGTCTAAAGATTCTTTCACCGGGACCTTTGTGAATAAGGACGCAATATCAAAACTGACAAGGATGTAATCTTTCTGAAGAATTATGTCCTGAATTTTGCTGATAAAGTGTGTTGAGTCCTTGACATACGACTCCGAATTTCCCACGTGGGATTGGAGCAATGATGCGAGGTGTTTGGCTAGGCTGTACGTGGGTGATCCAGGTGCACTTACTATTGGTTTTAGTGGAACATCAATCTCATGGATTTTCGGCAGGCCATAGAGTCGTGGTGATACAGCTTCTGTTCTTATGAGTATTCCGGAGTTTTGCTTGTGTTGGGTCCCTACTCAATTTTCGGTAGCTTGACGAATCAAGAAGATCTTGAATTTTGCGTTTATAGTCGTCGGTTTTCATAACGACTGTGACGTTACCCTTCGCAGCAGGTCTCTGAATTCAAATCAAATTTTCGATTGCCAGTAATTCTTTCTGGGAAAGGTTGCTGGCGGGTTGTCGAGCCTTTCGCAGAATGTTCACTGACTCAATCCGGATTTCTTCCGCTTCCTCATCAGGAAGAGTTCTGGTGGCTGCTTCGGTGCTAGCTATAATTTCCTCAATCGGCACATCGATGCGATCGCAAATAATAATTTCAATAGAAAAGAAGAGACACTGCAGCTCAAACAAATTTGGAATCCCATCTTAAGGAACACAAGGACAGCCCCGGTAGTCACATCCACTTATGCGTTAAAATGCCCCGCCCCCTCCCCTCCACGACTCCCCAGGCATTAATACAACTTACGGCCGGGAGCGCGTCAGTCTGCATCCAACATCGGGGACGGAAGCACCTCAGAAGAAGCTAGCCGCTCGTGCTAACGAACGTCAGGAAGAAATTCCACTCAACGACGGCCATTAAGCCCGAACAAAAACACTTACAGTTATAACACTATAGCTGACTTTAGTTTTGGTTAGTTTTGGTTAGTTAATATTTTAGATCCATTTACAATATTAAAACTCACTTTTCTTAACATCAAATTTTTGAAATTTAAGCAAATAAGCCTATTTCTTCTAAATAACAGCCTTCGATAAGAAACAAAAGTAACGTCACGTAGATCGTTTCTCATTCGAAACAAAGTTATTAAATGTTTCCGTATCACTTTCCAAAGCTTTTAGACATGACATGACGTTGTATGATAGCTTCTTTATTATAGCTAGATCAGTGAAAGGGTTTACAAGTTCTTTGGGCACTTCCAAAATTTTTAGTGAAAGTAACATACAAATTTTTTCCTGAATATTTATTTACCCGTGAAAAAAATGCAAAGCGAAATCATTTTTATTCGACTTTGACCGTCAAAAGTCCCATATTGCAATTACCGGAATTACCCGTTCGGTACTTATCAATAAAGCAATTAGAAAGAAAATCATTGTTGCTGACTTTGCAACATTTCGGATTACTAACCGCCTCGAATCGGATAACGATCTTGCATAATAATTAATACGCCTTCATTAAGGATATGCACACACGCGTATACTAATTATAATCGTTTTCCTATATGCAGGCGGGCAAACAAAAAGAATACAGCATAGGAAAAGCATTACGTGCGAGATACCACGACTTCCTAGGTGACGACTACTACCCGGACATCATCGAAGCATTTAGTACCGATTACAACCGCACCAAAATGTCTCTCCAACTGGTACTAGCTGGTTTATTTCCTCCCAACGAGGAAGACATGTTCGAATACGGCATACAGTGGCAACCAGTGCCATTCAACTACTTACCTAAAGACCAGGACAAGATCCTTCTCGGGGTGTTGTGCCCTAGGTACCTCGCGCTCTACGACGAGGTCAGCCAGTCACCGGAGATGCTCAAAGAGTTCGGTAAATATAGGGATGTCTTCAGATACATATCGGAAAACACGGGATTGAACGTAAGGAAATTCTTCGACGTCTACAATTTGTACTTTGGACTTTCGACTGAAGAAGAATGGGGTTTTGACTTGCCCCAATGGACCAAGACCGTGTGGCCTACGACTATCACGAGTCTGGCTATCAAAGAGTACTTTGTCTCGATGGCAACGTTGGAAATGAGACAAATGGCAACCGGTTACTTTTTAAATAAACTAATCGAAGATACGAAGAGGAAAATCATCAGCAGCAATTTGCCGGGGAAGAAAATGTTTTTGTATTCGGCCCACGAGAGCAACCTTGCCGAACTGTTGATGGCGCTCAACGTATTCACGCCCCACGTGCCTAATTACGGAGCATGGATATCGATCGAGGTCCATTTTATCAACAACATTTACGGTGTGAAAGTTTTTTACGAGAACCACGAGGAACAAGGACCACGGTCGTTGTCACTGCCAAACTGCGGGACCTTTTGTCCCCTGGATAAGTTTATCCAAGCGACCGCCCATCTTATTCCACCTGAAGACATGTGTGGCAACTTGTGAGCCTCTCACGAGCGGGGGTTTGCGTAGGAATCTCTTGTATCAGCGTTGGAAGGAAGAGTTGACGAGTGATACGTTTCTTATCGGTGCTTCCAAACTTGTAATTTAATTGTTGTTTATTAATTTTGTTGCTTCAAGTTAAAATATTAAATTTAAAAAATCGTTGAAATATTATATTGAATTTATTTTTCTAGATCGTTGGTTTTATTTTTGCGGAACCTTTATATCAATTCATAATCTAAAGAGACAACTAACCAAAACTATTAACTTATATGTGATGTAACATAGAATACCATAGAAAGATATTTTTCTAATATGGGCCTAAATAAGAAAATAATAATAGTAAAGACGGCATAGGATATACGTTTACTTTATACCTAATGTACTGCCCCTAACATCATTAATCATTAAAATAACATTTCATTTATGATATATTATGCAACAAGTGTGGTAAACGGTATTTGAGTCATGAGTTTATTGGGCACGAGAAGAGCGAGTGCTTAATAAAAAGTTTACCATATTATACCTTTCCTACGACCGTTAAATGTTGGATATATTTTTGCAAAACAATACGAATACATTCACTGCCATGACCGTCAGAATTGACAAAAGTCAAAATTCAAGCCGTGCGGTGAAATCTCCAAAAACATCCGATTGCTCCCAAACGCGTGCGGTAATATCGCGGAAATGTCCGAAGTGGCTGGGATCCGTAGGACGAGAAACTCGCGTGATAAAGTGACGCTTTCCGCAGGGAGTAGAAAAAAGGTTTTCAGCACGCATTTGAAAGTCCTCTAAAACAACGAAAACACAAACGAACAAAATAGGGATTCTGAAAAAATTTAATTAATTTAATGGTTTGTCGACAGGCCACGCGATTCACATTTTGTTGAGTCTAGCATAGATTCTTATTATTTCAGTTAGTTTAGTTAGTTACTTAGGTTAGTAAAAAGTACCATGCCGAATTCAAAAATGTTAACAGCAGTGTTGTCAGATTTATCACTTTTAGGTTACATGGCATAATTTTGTAATTTTAGATGAAATCCCCTATTTATTTTTGTTGCACTGAATTACGCATGTCGAATTTAGTAAGGTCCCATAATTTCAAAAATGCCTAAATATCTCCAAAATTGCCAAAACTGGAACGATAAAATTCAATATGTGGGGGTTTTTAAACATGCCATGTTTGTACATGTCATTTTTTGGTTGTTTTAAATGAAATGTCCTATTTATTTTTGTTTCGCTTAATTACGCATGTCGAATTTAGTAAGGTCCCATAATTTCAAAAATTGGTTTCTATTAATTACTGAGTTACGGCAACACCGTTTTTTCAGTAAACCCAGCGGTTCTCCAAAACTGCTAAAACTAGAAAGATAAAATTCAATATCTGGGAGTTTTTCAACAGAATTCAGCAATTAGGAAAGATGTCGCGATGATATTTGCAAATCTGGAAACCTTTCACTGATACGCTTTTAAATTCATTGCAAAAAAAATAGATAATTCGATTAATATAACAAAATTATGACGTGCAACCATATAGCTACTAGACATATAGAGGCCCTGCCTATGCTGACAGTACAGGAACTCATGAAGCAACTATGCAAAAATTTTTTGAGAAGGTCAATTCAACGCACGCATGCGCTAGATTTAAAATTTCGTTTTTTAACCAATGGCAGCTTTAATGGCAAATTCTGACGATGGACCCATAAGACCTGGCGGCTTTCAACAAACAAAATGGCCGCTGACAGATTGTCCACGTTTGGATGTCGAAATCCTATTAAATGTTCAGGAGTTAAGAAAAGCAGTACAGAATTGCAACACCCGCGTCGGCGTCAGTATAATTCTGTAATTAATTTGGCGTTTTTGTTCTTTATTCCCTGTAGATACGATGCAATTTCTACATGTATTCTGCATATATGCTATTGCTAGTGGAAAAAATGTTCAAGAAGCACCTCCTATAGACTGCAGTTGACAATGGGTATTTCTTATGTTTGTTCTAGTAGAAATTCAAACTGTAGCTTAATTGTTATCTTTTTTTTTTCTGTAATTCTTGTACACTAAAACATTTTTCCCAAACATTCTTTGTAACGATTTAAGTGTACCTAAAAATGTAGGGAATGTTTAGAAATGTCTATGTCTATTTTCGAGTTTATTAAATCTAACATATATAGGAATCACTATTACGTCCTCATATCTGCCACATTTGATGTAATTTCGCAAAAAAAAAGTATTGAAAGCACAAATTATAAACTTAAATAAATTTGATGCAGTATGGAGAAAAAAATGAAAACTGCAATGGCACAGGCCACTGACTGTTCTGTGACAATGGTAATTACTTATCTCGGCGTTGCCAATTATGTTCGGATTTCAGAGATTGGTGTTGCCTTTTTATACAAGTTAATCATTTTCCCAGAAAAATTACGGCAATGCAATGCACTCGGACAGTTGGGGGGTGACGGATGGACAAAAGATCCACACCTTCTCTAACACCAACACTTACAAACAACGCTTACAGTTGCTAAACTACCAAGTTTTGATTAAAAACAGTCTTCTTTACTTTGGAATTAAAACCACTGAGTGAGTCAGAAAATAAATCAATATGCTCGTTATTTGTGAGTAAAATATCTGTCAGCTTGCACATTCGATTCATAGGCGGGTTCATGCCATAGTTGGTCCTATGAAAATCAATGTTAAAAAGAGCCTTGTTTTTTGCATTAATAGGAGAAATATGAAAACCAACAGATGTCAGAAAATCTGGTGAATCCATCAAGTTATTAACGATTTTGCACAATGTAGCAATGTCAAAAAATTAGCGCCTACTCTCAAAAGATGTCCTGCACCACAAAGAAAACCCTATCAAGATCCTCCTGCAATCGATGACAGTCAAGAGGTGATGCTACAACCTTACAAAACTTTAAGTCGTCCGCAATTGCAAGAAATTGGCAAAAGCGAAAAATATGTTTTAGGTCATTAAAGAAGACATTAAAAAGGAATGTGAAAAGATGTCCCCTTGTGTAATTTTTAACTTTAACCGATTGTTTCCGGTTAGTGATATTACTGCGAAACCAATTTAGAAGGTCTCCAAAGATTTCCATCCATGAGAGCTTCCCTACCAGAATGTCATGGTCAACCCTGTCGAAGGCCTTGGAGAAGTCTATATATATAGCATCTACTTGATACCCATTCTCAAAGGCCCCCAATACCGAACGCTCATACCTCAGGAGGTTCGAAACAGTTGACCTTCCTTGACAAAACCATGCTGTTCGGTTATAATAACGTTTTTAAAATGAGGGGTGACATAATCGGCAAATATACCCTCAAATATTTTCGAAAACAAGCAGATTTTAGAGATTGGGCGATAGTTTTTTGTGTTAACCCTGTCACCATCTTCGAAAATGGGTGTAACACAAGATTTTTTCCAATATGAAGGAAAAACGCCGCAGCTTAGTGAAAAATTAAAAATTTTACATAAAATTTCGGATAGAACGAATTTACAATTCTGCACCAGTATCACAGGTATATTGTCGGGTCCCGGTCCTAAGGTTTGCTTTAAAATACTTATTCTATTGAAAACATCCACATTAATTTTAAAAATCCTAGACGAACAGGATTTTTAAAATTAAATGTTGTGGATGTTTTCAATAGAATAAGTATTTTAAAGCAAACCTTAGGACCGGGACCCGACGGTATACCTGTGATACTGGTGCAGAAATATATTAAATAAATCCTTTTGCAAAATAAGAAAATTCTACATTACAAAATGTTGGCAAGACAGTCTCCCTAAACTGTTTTTCTACACTAGACTGCCAATAAGGATCATTATGTTAATGCGCCAGTGAAGGGATAGTTTTTCGAAAAAAAAAACTTTTTTCTTAATTCTTATTTACTATTATTAATTATAACATTATTTTTACAATTATTGCAATTATTGCATACCTTTTTTTAAATATTAAGGGTTTTAGTTCTGTTTAGCCTTTAAACACTGTTTGTTTGGTTTGCAAAATTTTGGTTTGTGATCTTTTTTTTCTGTTTTTTGTTTACAACTATGTTAATCGTGAATGGTCAAAGTACCAACCAGTGACTCTCTGAAAACCTCAATTCTAGCGACTTAGCCTCGGGGAATTTTTAAATCCCAATTCATTCACGTAATAATTACGCTCATAATTAATACCGCCGCAAATCTGGTAGCAGTACCAGATGGGAACGGAAATTCCGCGTTCTGGAGTGACGTCGTATTAGTCGAGATCTGAACCGAACCCAACCGCAAATGAATTCCGAAATTTGGGTAAAAATTTTATTAGCAAGAATTTCCTGACTAATTATGCACTGCTTCCGATTTTCTCACTTCTCGATCTAAATATATAAAGGGGGTTTCTCGCGACCCGTACCGTCAAACTAAAATCTGGTACGAGACCTTACAGAACGAGATTTGAAGAAAATTTTCGATATGTGTCTCAGAAGCGTGGCGTTTGTAGTGGCGGTCGCGATTTTCGCCGTTAGTGTGATGTCTTTGCCGCATGACAATTGGGTCGGGCACCGAGCATGGAAGAGTCATTTTGAAAAAGAAAACGACGACTTCGAAGAAGATTTATTCGGCGAAAGCCTAGATACCGTAGTGCTCAGTCACGTGGTGAGTACTGTCATTTGGAAGTTTATGGTCGATTTTTCGATCAAAACCCATCCCAAAATATTTACAATTAGCGAAGGAGTTAAAGCTCTATTATTCCGTTTTTGTAGAGGTTTTTTTAATTCTTCGTCGTTATTAATGGGACAATTCTAATGTCACTTTCCATTTGACCGCTATATAGAGGGCGGACTAATTAGATTTATTGTAACTTGCGTTTTTGTATAACCTACTATTTTTGAAGCGCTAATTGTAAATTAATAGGAATGTGTGCTATTTTCTTCCAATAATCTTATAATTGTTAAAAAAAGTCGTAACATATGTGTCAGATAACAAAAAATATTTCGTAAAAGAATTTTCAAATCAAAATATTATTAGAGACGAAAAAGTTTGATGAAAACACCAAACTAACTATAAAAGTGGGGGGTCAAGGGGCAACACACTTCGAATAGGCATCTGAAAATTCACAAGTATTTAGTTTAAAAAGTTAGTCGTATATTGAACCAAAACTTTCAAATGGAAAGTGTTGCCTACCTTTTGTAATACCCCGTAGTATTTTTTAATTAAAAGTATAAAGCAAATTTGGATTTTTACATCTTTTGCCAAGTTTTAAGATAGGGAATGATTTTTATAAACAAAAAGCCATTTGAAAAAAAGGTGGCTTTTACTTGATGAAAATCCATTCATCAAAATAAATAAGAACCAAAAGTTCAGATTTTCACGAAATTATCTATTATGACATGACAATTGTTTCGACGACACCGTGTCTTCATCAAATGTAATATTTACAAACTACCTGCAAAAATATATATCGATAAAGACGCGGTGTTGTCGAAACAATTGTCATGTCAAAATATATAATTTCGTGAAAACCTGAACTTTTAGTTCCTATTTGTTTTGAAAAAGTCATTTGTAGAAAATTGTTGCCAATAATAAAAACATAGTCTCAACCTTCCTGCTAACAAATGAAAAAATTATACGAATATACGAATTTTACTCCATTTAATTCACCGCTGCGCTCCTAAACAAGTTTCTACAGATTAAGAAAAGATGTCAATTTTAGCTCTTCAGACATGGCAACAGAACCCCAGACAGTATCCAGGAACTATATCCAAACGACCCGTACTTAAACGAAACCTACTACCCTTATGGGCTGGGTCAGCTAACTAACGTAAGTCATTGCATAAATTCGCCTCGATTTTCGTACGTCAAATTTTTTATTTACTTCCTCCAGGCCGGCAAACTGAAAGAATTTAACATCGGCGTATCTTTGAGGAAGAGATACGAATCGTTCTTGGGTGACACGTATCTGCATGAAACCGTGGAAGCTATAAGCACAGACTACAATCGGACAAAAGCCTCTCTCCAGTTAGCACTGGCCGGCTTATTTCCTCCGAAAGCCGAACAGGTCTGGAACAACGATTTGCCATGGCAGCCCGTCCCGTACAATTTCCTTCCACGTGCCCAAGACAACGTCTTGCTTGGAGTATTGTGTCCGAATTATCTGCGTCAATACGAACGCGTCGTAAACTCGGCCGAGATGAAAAAAAAGTTGAAAAAACATAAACAGACGTTGAATTACATTTCCAAACATAGCGGACTAAACGTCACCAGATTCCAAGACATTTACAACTTGTACTTCGGCCTGTCTACCGAAGAGGAATACGGCCTGGTGCTTCCAGCCTGGACACGAAAGGTTTGGCCCGATGCAGTGGTAAACTTGGCCATAGAGGAATATTACGTGTCGATGGCGACGGACGAGCTTATAGAATTGGCCAGCGGTTACTTTTTGAGGAAGGTCTTGGAAGATACGCTGGTTAAGATTTACGGTAATGCAAATTCGAAGAAGATTTACTTGTATTCCGCGCACGAAAATAATGTCGCGCAACTATTAATGCTATTAGACGTTTTCACCCCCCACATTCCTAATTATGGCGCCTACGTCATTATGGAAGTCCACAAAATCAATGGCGTATTTGGATTCAAGGTAGAATTTGCCAAGGGTCAAATTAGAAGTGCCACTAATTCTGTTTTCTTGTAGATATTTTACGAAAATTATACAGGAAATGGTCCGCGATTATTAAGGATACCTTCTTGCGGCGATTTTTGTCCTTTCGAAAGATTCATCCAGCTGTACCGGAAGTACATACCAAAGGACGACAACTGCGGCAACTAAGCTATGCCAGAATCGTTTTCGTTGAACTTCTAGTCAAGTACTGCCTTTTTAGTTGTTAACGTAATTTATTTAAACTGTTAAATAGTCAAATTGGTTTTTTTTATTAAATATTTAAAATTGAATTATTTATTTCATTGCCAAACGGGTTTATGTTCACGTTAAACTACAGCAACGTTTTGAATTTTTTAGACATGGTAACCTTAAGAGTGCCCTCTATGTGCTGGGGGAAAAATCCAACGTAGAATTCTCTTTAAGTACCGCTCTATTACCCTTATTTTATGCATGGCATCATACAAACTAACCAATTACAAATATCTGTTATCAATGGGTGCATGGTGAATTTAATTTGTAAACAAGGGGCTATGACAAGCGGTTTGTTGTGTGTGGAATAAGTGTTTGTTTATATTGTCTCTGTGTGTGCATGTTTGAAAAAAGCGATGAAAAAATAAACCGCTTTGCAATATCTACAGTTAACTGGTGTTGGCAAAGTTGCCGTCAATTTTTTTACCCGCGCACGCATAAACGGCAAATAGGAAGCCAGAAAAATCGATAAACTTAAAGGGTTTAACCGGCATCACTTTGAGTTTTGTAGATTTTTTAGGTAGGTGAGTAAATATTTCTTTTCGTTCATTTAGGAAATCACATCACGACCTTATGGTTTATGCGTAAATTAATGCCTTTATTTTTTGTTTCCGAAAACTCATATGGCATGTTAAAAAAATTTTTTATATCAGTGTATTTTTGTCAATTTGATTTGATAAAACGTAATTTTATTAAGGAAATAGACGCGCGTTTCCCAATATGGCTCAAACCCAGCAAACAACTGATCAAAAGAACAGCAAAAGCGAAGATAAACAGAACATTGAACAAGAGGAAAGGGAAAAAATTTTAAATTCTGAAAATGAGGAAAAGGTGGCTTCAGATTCCTCAGAAGAAAAGAAAACAAAAGAGGTCAAGGAAGGTATGGAGGTGAAACCTAAAAAGATTCCAATTGGTGGGATACAAATGCCAGGATTTTTTACCAGAAGTAAATCTAAAGAACAATGCAAGGTAAATTTTGGTTTAATAAAATGATACTTGTATTTGATAAATTTATTTATGGAAATTTTTGTAAGTGGGTTGCAATTGCTTGCGGCAGGAAACTGCATAGTAATTGGTAATATCCAGTGAAATTACAAAACATTTATAACTTGTGGGTGTAATTTATGAACTGGAAAGGTAGGATTTCATACTATTTTCTAACCAAGAGATTATTGACCGTTTCCGCACACGACGTCCAGAAAGAAAATCAACAAATTATGCTTCTGTTTCATTCCTACCTTAGGAAGAAGGTGACCAAACTGAAGGCACAGAATTAATTGAGGATGCAAATAAGGATGAAACTCCAACGCCGCAAGCGAAGATCAAATTACTGAATCCGTTTCGGAAATCCAAGGCCACTAGTGAAACTGATGAAGAAAAAACTGGGGAGTCAAAAGATAAGAAAAACCTATTGCAAACTATTCGTTTGCCACTGGTGTCCGTATTTTCCAAAAAGAAAAAGGAGGACTCTCAAAACTTAAACTCACAAACTGGGCAAGCTGGACTCGCGTCTATGGAAACCTTGGATGATAAGAGTAATGATGGGAAAAGTGGAGAGCTAAAGTCTGTTCCTCTGGACGATAAGAAGGATGTCGAAAAACAAGAGTCAGATGAAGACCTTACATTAGCACAAAGAGTCAAAACTTACAGAATTGCTATCAGTGAGCTTGTATCTTATCCATTTCTTCTTTGTTTTTAATTTTATATCCCTTTCAGGTGCCTTGCTCATTTTTTTAGTGCTTATTGTCATAATAGTAATTATTGCCAGGCAGAGTGCTTCGCAGATAACAGCAGCTCCAATTAGAGATTCCCGTTATGTTGAAGCCGTGACCACTTGTGGAAAGGTTGAGGGGTGAGTCAATTCATACCTCTATCACAGTTAAGTGGTATAGATATAAGCGTGAGTTGGGTTTTGATTTGATGAACCAATTGATCTTTTTTTCTCTATCATATTAAACTTTATTAAAAATATTATTTTTGAGTGAATGTTACTGAATTATAAATTTGGTTCTTGATATTGGCTACTATATGATCGAAATTCCTATCTTTGTTGGTTTACATGTTTAGGAGCTGTGACCTGGTTTTATTAAATACAAGTAAAAATAAATCCTGTGCCTAATAATTTCCTAAAGAAGTTTTCGCTTTTTTCTATCTCTTTCGAAAGATTTTTTGAATTAGTCAAGTTTAAAAACCTAATTAAGTGTATATGGAAACTAAAAACGAATACTAATGGAATAACCGGCAAACAATAACGCGACAATTGAATTAAATTGTTTAACCAAATGAGTGTGGACTTTTAGAACTCTTCAACTGAGTAGAAGGATTTTTTTGCTATATGCTCCTTTATCTTGTTTAGAAATTGAGATCTATTAATGCTAATTATATGCTCTGCAGTTTATAAAGAGTTTTCTATGACAAACCTGTGTACTAAACAATAGGTCCATAAATAATAAATAATAAAGAAATATAAAAACATACTCATGTTTTGTAGTCTTTTGGAGGATAGCGCTTTCGCTTTTCGAGGAATCCCGTACGCTCGTCCACCTACAGGCGATTTGAGATTCAAATACGCCCAACCATTGAATCGGATTGAGTATTGCTGGAACGGTACTTTTTTGGCTCACAATGCTACTGACCCTTGCATGCAGATCCTAGGAAATGGGACCGTTATAGGTAATATGATTCAAATTTGGTTCTTAATATACAGAGTGTTCTCAAAATTAATTATTATGTTGGAGTTGTTGGATCTGTCAGGCTTGAGCTGAGGCTAGCCTTGAAATGATTTTAAATATATAGGCGAGGTGTTACCTATTTTACTGTCAAAAGGGGGTTGTTGCTCAGTAATTATGTTAATATTAGGTTTTCTTTTCAAAACGCTGACCAGACCAGAGCAGACTAGATATTACAGGAGTCTGGCACATGATTACTTTTCTGGAGTTCAAAGTCAAAAAATATTTTTTGATATCGGAGGGTTGGCTAGGGTCATTTCCTCCATATCGATGTCCTTTGCATCTTCTTACGGTTCCTACTCCTATCGGAGGTTGGATATTATCATCGCCATTCTGACTCTATTGACGACGGCTCTGAACAATTCTGTCGAGTTACATCCATGCAGATCTCTCAGATTTTTTAACCAGGAAGTTCTCCTATGTCCTACACTTCTCTTCCCTTGGATGATAAGCCTCAACAGCTCGCATCTTTCGCCCCTCATTATATGACCGAGATATACCAATTTTATTTTTATAGTTTTTATTAGTTCACGTTATTCAAATAACACCCTGTTTATAAAAATATTTACTTTGTTCTTTCGGACGGCGGAACGGTTGTCTTATTGGAAAATTAAACCGTCAGGGAGCGAGGATTGCCTCACATTGGACGTGATCACGCCGTACGTGCGTTACGACAACCCGCTGCCGGTGATTGTCCTCGTCGGTGCGGAAACCCTTATGGGCGGGTCGCCTGGTAAAATGAGACCGTCGGCTCGGTACGCTCGTTCCAGGGACGTTGTGTTCGTCAGGCCCAATTTCCGTCTGGGTGCACTCGGATTTCTAGCCCTCGACACGCTGAGCCAGAACGATTCCTCCCACGCTTCTGGAAACTACGGCCTGTCCGACATATTGGAGGCTCTCCACTGGATTCAGCTAAATATCGAACATTTCGGAGGCGACAAGAAATCCGTGACGTTGTTCGGGCACAGGGCCGGTGCCACCCTCGTCACGGCCTTGTCTACCCTGCCGGATGCCGCCAAATATTTCGCTAGGTATAATGCGACCTATCGTGGGCGGACGGAAGACTGACCGGGTGATTCTAGGGCATGGGCTTCGTCGGGCGGCGCAGTTTTTCCCAAAAAATCGAGGGCGGAGTCGGAATCGGAGAACAAGAGCTTCTTGGAGGCGGCGCAGTGCAAAAACGTCGAGTGTCTGCGTAGTTTGGACGCGACCACGTTGGTCACCGCGGTCGAGGACACCTGGCGCAAGCCTCAGCCCGACGTGCCCTCCGCTGAGGAGAAACCCGAAAATAGACATCAGTGGCTGGTGTGTTTCTTTTTTGGCAATTTTTTTTAACCGTTTTAACCGAACCGGTGATCGAAGTTGTAATCCGCCATATATAAGGACCTGAGATCGAGTGTGCAACTCGGGTCCGCAAGCAGCATTTTTCTGACTTATGATACACGTCTTTATCCGGGCGTTACATTTGTCTACCATTTGGTTTTCTTTTATGTAATATAAGTATGTTCATCAATTTATAGGTTAGTGATTATTTTGCTCTCTAGTTGTGGTAAAAAATGGAATCTTTGAATCTAAATGATAACCTTACTTGGGCCTGGTATCGCAATTTAATGAATTACCTGTCGGGCAATGTATGGTTTATTGTGATTTTTACCCATATTAGATAAAATAGTTGGTTTTGTTCAGAATTGGTATGTTTATTGATGTAATTCAAGGAAAGGTTGATAAACGAAGATTTTCATGCGTTTCCAAATGATATCAGTGTAATTCCAGCTTTGGGACTAGAGGAAAAAATGGACAAAAGAATAAATTAATATAATGAATTATCGTGCAGAAGCTTTAATTAAAATTGCATGTATTAGGACTTCCACAAAATATTTCCATATCAGAATCTATTTTGTCATCGATAACTTAAGAAACGCTGACGACATGGTCTTACTAGCAATAGATAAGGATGATTTACAGCTATTATCAGCGCAGACCATAGCCAACAAAGGGGTCTACACTTAAATATAAAGAAAACCAAATGGATAGGCATTAGCAAAAAAAAAGTAATAACTTAACGGCTATCCGCGTAAATTAAGAAATAGTGGAGAAAGTACAAACATACAAGTATTTGGGGTGCTCTGTGAATAAAAACTGGCTCTCATCTTAAGAAATCAAAAACAAAATAGAGTAAACAAGAACATCTTTTAAGAACATGCAGAATGTGCCTTAAAAATTCCCTTAAGAATATTCTTATTACATTGCTATGTCTTAAGCCTATATAATCATGCAAAGAAAAATAGAGGGAAAACGTGGTCCTGGTCATCAAAGAACGTATGTTCTGTTTAGATTTGCTGCGGACAAAGTGTATGTTCTGATAGGACGAGGCAATTGAAAAAGGTGATCAGATCAAATTGTTATGATTATTTGCAATCTGTTAACAACTTTTTAAAGATTTTATGGTTATGTTTTACCAGCTGAATTAAAATTGACTCAAAAAGTTAGCTTTTTTAATAAGAATTAGTTTGTAAAAATAAACAATTTTTTAAAAATATTTGAAAGACAACGCTCATGTTTATCAGTAATTTCCGTCGCAAGGATATTTCACCCAGGAATTTGTTTGAAAAGTTTATATGTTACGCGTACATAAAAATACGTCAGCGCTTATTGGGTCGTTATATACTATTCTTTCTCTCGCTCCTTAACGAACAAACTATAAGCGCGTGATGTTCGCTCTCAGGTGCTCGACGGTAACATCCTGAAGGAGCATCCGGACGCCGTGTGGACAAACGGCGAGCTACCTGTCAAACTGGTACTGGGCGCGACCGCCCACGCGGCCAACTCGGAGAAACTCTTCATGAAGCACCTGAATTGGACGGAGCCGTTGGTGCGACGTCACCTCGAAGAGTCCGCATTGGGCGCGAGGGATCTCGTCGACGATACGTTGCAACTGTATCCGCCCACTTACGGAGGACTGAGCGCCATCGTCACCGACATACGTATCGCGTGCCCTCTGTTTGCCGTCTCGACGCAAATGAGCAAGGTGCCGTTCTACGTCGTGACGCAGACGCGCGGCGAGCAACACTTAGCGGACGTCGACTCAGACGTTGAGGCGATCCTCGGACGCTACGAGCCGAAAACGCCCGAACAGAGACGTTACTTTTCTGCGATGCAGGGTCTGTTTTACCACTACGTGTGGCACGGCACCGTCGAGCAGGACGCCGCGTTGCCACCGAGCAAGAAGGTGCTCGTTATCGGCCAGGATGTTTTGCCTAACGAGACTTACTCCCACTGCGCGTTCTGGATCGGGAAGGATATAGTTCCCGCTTACGCGACTATGGATTAGGTTTCGGATTCCCGGCGGTAAGAAATTTGCAGGATTGCTACTACTACTAGTAGAAATATGATTTAAAAAAATGCGCCGTAAGAGGAATATACAGCGGTATTTCAAATGTCGCGGATAACGGAGCGTCTTTGAGTTTAATCCATACTCTCCATTAGATCGCATTATGGTCGATTGCCACCCAGAAATTTTTTGTTTTTCGTGTTGACCCTGTAGCACTTTGTCTTCGCTAATAAATCGCTTTCTCTTTAATTTAATCATTTTTGTTATAAATTTTTAGGTGAACAAACGTCGCTCGAGCGCGACATTTTCGCCAATGTGGGATCACCAGCCGCACCCGTTGAGATCCAATATTTCATAGCCCTCCTGCGTATATATATATATTTTTTTGGAAAATACTCGCTATACAATTTTTTTTATTATTTAATGAAGCCACAGACTGCATTTTTACAACGTTTCGATGCAGGAGGCATTTTTTAAGGTGATTGTTAGTCTTATCTCGTGGAACGAAAATACTCTTGCGACTGAATTTATGTACTCTTAAATATATATTTACCCGTGCATTTTTTATATGTTAAGATTTATCGAGGCTCTCTTTTAAAATCGAAAAGACTGTTTTTTATTATAGATACAATTTTTTTATTCGCTATTTTTCTTCAGATGCGTAAGGACTAGGTTCTCCCGATACGCGGCACCAACACTTTTGCGCAGCATGTTTTTATTTTACTGACGCAATTGGGGATCCTATTCGACAATTGCCGAAACCGTCCAATACCGAATGACGTTATAAAGTCGACGATCTGTTTAAGATTGTGATTCGGTATTCGAGGGTTTTTCGTTTTTATATATGGTTATTTGGTAGTAACAATTGGCGGAAGAGAATGTACACTAGATGTTTTGCCGTTTTTAGCTACAAATAATCGCGAAATTTTACTTAGGATTGAAAGAGGAAACGAAAGTTCACGGGGGAGGGTTAACAAATAAAAAAACGAGAGTCTAATATATTTTTGAGATGGAGTGTTGGCTGTTTTGCTGATTTGAAAGTTCAGTATTGAAAACCCCCGCAAATCATAAATTATTTTTTTACATCACTTTGCCAAAAAACGGCGAAATAATCTAAGCGGGTCCTAATTTGCATGGACAAGCCATTCCGCGGTTGCTTAGTTTAATGTTCTAGATATTAGGATGTACATAATTTTTTTTTGTAAATGATTTCGACATTGCTTTTCGATGTTTCCATGTACCAAATTTAAGACTGTAACCCATATTATTCAAGAGCTAAGGCCTATACTTGCATTTAAATGAATCTGAGTCTATCCCAATTCCCCTATACAAACGTACATTTAATAAATTTGCTGTGTTGTGAATAAAAAAATTGATAATCGCTTTTCAAGGTTTATAGACTTTTATTATTATAAAAGCACCGAAAAATAAAACGGTAGGTATCATATCATGTTTTATATTTGTGACGAACATTCTTAACATTTTGACTCGTTACTAAAACTATAAATAACAAAAAAAGACTTATTTTTTTTAAATGTAAAAATAAGGGAAATAAACTTCACATTGCATAAAGATCGGATTACCTCCAAACTGAATCCTCTACATGAATAAAGTGCAACTAATAAACATATAAATGAATCAAATTAATCCTTAAGAATAAATCAAGTTACATTGGCACCATTGTTGCTTGTCAGCAGTTGAAATACAGAAATTACTTGTATAAAGAAAATAGTAAATATAAATTCTGCCTTGACGATTACAATAAATAAAATTACCAAATTTACATACAATTAATTGCGCTCCCTGAATGGCGATCCACGATTTGGACTTTCTATGATCGACCTGTTTGGACTTCCGACGTTCTCTTTATCTTTTACGGATATTTTGTACTTCTTTAATTTCAAATCATCGAACTGAAAAAAAAAAAAAAATAGAATGATCGAAAATAATTATAAAAAAAAATAAGGAAATTCCCAAATGTTAAATCAGTCTCAGAACGGTAGGAATATTGGATAAAGGAATAAAACTTAGGACAAAAAAGGAAGACAAACAATAATTGAAACTAATGTAATTATTTACCTTAGTTCTCCATGTGCTGTTCTCTATTTCGAGCAACTCTTTCTCCTTTTTAACTTTCTCATATAATTTCTGGGTCCTGTCCAAATGTTTGGCGTTCATTTCCATTTTAATCCTGCACTCCCTGTTTTCCCTCTCCAAATTTTCGAATTTCTGCAAGAGCAGGTCGTATTTACCGCTGAGATCGATGTACTTTCTCGTCATTTGTAACGAATCCTCCGCCTCGAGCTCAAGGTTTTCCGCCTTCTTCTTGTAAAAATGGCAACTATTCTCTAGAGCATCCCACTTTTCTTGCAACTGTTTCACCTGATCTGTCAACTCCTTTATCTGTTCCTCTCGGCTCGCTAATTCGTTTCTCGCAAGGGTCAATTCTTCCTTTCCCATCAACCAACACTTCTCCTTTTCCGTATACTCCAAAAGTTTATTTTCAATTTCTTTCATTTGGGAACCGTAGGTCTCCCCGACCATACCTATTTGGTCGTTGATTTTCTTGATGGTGTCAAAATTGTGATTCAGTTGACGCATAATCTCCTCCTTAAAACTTTGCTCTTCCTCGATCCTTTCCGAGTATTTCCTCACGTCCTTTTCATAAGCTCTTACTTTCTCCAACAGCTGCCCTTTGATTTGCTCTATAGAGCTCTCATTTAGCTTTATAGCCGATTCGTACTGCATTTCCAATTCTTCATTGGTATCTTTTGCTTCTTTTAGCTCCATATTCGCCTGCCAGTACTTGGACTCATACTCCAACAGTTTTTCCTCACACTCTACCAACTCTGACTTCAACTGCTCAACGTCTTTGTCAGAATTCATCAACCTTTTTTTCAACACCTCGATTGTCACTTGCGAGTTGTTAATTGTGATTTGGTACGCTTTAATTTCGCGTTGTAAATTTTTCATTTCTCTCTTTCTGTCCTCTAGTTTGGATGTTAGCTCTTCAATTTTATTCTTCAGTTCGACTTCACGTTCCATAAAACAACTTTCCGTCTCCCTATATTTTAGACATTGTTTCTGCAAGTCTTCATAATTCCTTGTTACAACATCCAAAGATTTTTCAACTTCCTTCTTTTCCAACTCGCACTGTATTATGTTGTACTCGCTTATCGCCTGACATTCTTTCAAAATGGCTGTTGATACAATTTCCTGATTGAGCAGTTTCTTCTTCCAAGTGTTTTCTATCTCTTCTTTTGTGTGTTTTATTTTCCCCTCCCACTCGTTAACCAAACTTTTTATTGTTGCATTGCATTCCAAATTCGCCCGTTCCAATTCTATTTTTTGCATGTGATTCAAGTTATCAATTTCGTTGTGCAACTTTTCTTCCATTTCTTTCATTTTTATGGAACAGTCCTCCTCAGTCTTCTGCAATTTGGTCATCGTTTTGAGCATCTCAAACTCTATGCTTTGAATTTCATTCTGGTGAACACTCTGCAAGTATTCCTTTTCTCGCCTTACATTTTGCAACTCTTGTTTGAGCTGTTCCACTTCCTCGGTGAGCTCCTGTATGTATTTCGTTTTATTCTCGCACTCGACGACTTTTTCTCTAAGCGCTTCGAGATCATTTTCGGCGACAAATAACGGCTTTGGTTTGGATTTTTTTGTAAAGTTTACAGTCTTTGTTTTCTTTGGCAATGTTGGCTGGAAATATATTATTTAAACGAAAATGTATCATATCGGTTGCAAACGTGAGTGATTCAAAAACTTACGGTTTTAAAGGTTCCAGGTGCACTTTTCACGGAACCTGTTAGCGAACCACTTTCCGAAGTGGCAGGACTATGAATTAGTTCACCGGGCTTACTGGCATTATCTTTTTGGTTCACTTTCGATGACGATAAAGCACATACTAAAATATGATTAAAATTAATAAACGATAATGTCGAGAAATTATCGTGGCGTGCAAACCTTTGATGTCGTTAAAACGAATGAGCTTAGCTTTGCTGAAAGACATTCTGGAACACTGTTTACACAAAAACAAAACAAAACACTTTCACACTTCCGTTAACAATTTAAAACTTAATGTTACATTAAAATAAAAACAATACAAAAACCGCCATCGACAAAGTTTCAGTTGGAATGAAATGTTTTTAGGCGGTCGTTTTCTGTCGACCGTTACACAAGAAAACAATTGGTTTATATGAACCAATGGGATTTACGAAGTTCGCTAAGTTACCGCGTGATTGGTTACATTTAAAAGGCGCGCGAAACACGAATTGCGCAAATCTCGAAGGGCGAGTGAAAATGCCATATAAATTTCGAATTGGGTTTTCTGGTTATGGAAATTAGAAGCTTTTTTCTGTTCAAAGTGCGACAAGTTAGAGACTTGAATTATAAAATAACTACTCATCCCGTCATACGAAAAGAATCAAGTGATTTAAATAAGAAAATTTTGCAGTAGTCTGAACCAGCGCTCATTTCCATTTTATCGAAAACTGACTAAATACCAGACTTCTTTTCAATTAAATCAATTATTATCTTAAAAACATTAGCAATTCAGTTCATTCAGAGTTAATAGTGTGTCTAAAGGAAGGAAACTATTGAATGTCTAGTTGTATTTAGTCATGATAAAAAATAACCATATCATTTCAGTAATGGCCATACAGGAAGCTTTGCAAATTACAGCAGGTGTAGTTAGGTTTAAAGACAAAATCATAAACTATAGAATTTTTTGGGATTTTTTTATTAACATGTTTTGAATATATAAACATTTAAATTGAGATAAATTATTGTTGCTCTTATTTCATAAAAATAAAACTAATATATTTTTTATTGAGGTTTATTAAGGTCATTAATTTAATACTTAATTAGTGGAAATTTGCACTGCCAAATTGTGCTTAAGAGTTATAATTATTTAAATAAAGGTCTTATTCTAAGCAAATTGGAAAAAATATATTTACAATAACACAATAAGGTATATTTATACATTTGTAAAAAGCACTAGCTATAAGCCTTAGAGTAAAATTCTTTATCATTCACGGCGTAAGTTATCCAACCTAGCCTGTAAATCGGCATCAGCGTCCGATAACCCACCATTACTTCCACCGGCAGCAATGGAAGCAGCTGCAGGTTGCTTATTTGCTGAGGCGGGTAACGTTCCACCTGTCTGTGGTAACCCAGATAGAGTATCTGTTAGCTGTAGGCCCAATTCATCTAGCACTTGGTTCACAACAGCATCACTACAATCAGGGTTAACTTTTTAACTGAAACACTAAAAAAGCAGATTTATTACCTTTCCTCCTCATCCTCGTCACCTTCCATTGCATCATCGATAGCATCATTCATAATTTCTTCTTTCATATCCATTATTTCTGACTGTTTCTCAAACTCTTGCAATATTCTTTGGATTTGTGGTAAGTTCATTTGCCTATTCATATTTGCCATAGCTCTGGTAACGCCTTTCATGGCTTGAGCCATCGTGTTTTGAGACCGCAACGTTTGTATTTTTAAAGAAACAGCTTGAATATTCGCCTTCATCAACATAAACTTTTTCACGTAACGTCTAGTCCTCACTAAATCCCGGGCCATTATTTTAACAGCGTCCTACAAAAAAACATTAATAAACTTTTTCATGCGACAGAAGTAATCTTGAACAACCATTTGACCCTCTTTGGCGAGTTTTTTAATGTCGTTTATAACTTTCTTTTCTTGCTGCTCCATCTTTTGTCTTTCCCTGTCTAAATCCCTCATAGCTTTATTTAATGCTCTCTGGTTTTTCCGAAGCATTTCTTCCGGTGTTACCTTCTTTCCGAATAACCACTCCATTTTTCGTTAATTTGACAATGTCTTTTACAAAACGAGAAATAAATCAACCATAAAAATATTTTCTGAGTCACTTGTCAACAAACCACAGATGAAACGAAACGTCAAAGTCGTAGATAAAATTAGGTGAGTTAACTGCCACAGAGTACATTTTAGAATTGTGGCGAACTCAAATGACGTAAATATCAAACAGGACATGCGAAATTTGTCAGTGTGACACACCAAGAGCGTAGTGGTTAGTGGTTAAAATGGTATCAAGAAAAAGCTCTCCCGTGAGACATTCCCTGATCGAGATTCGAAAAATCGCTCCCTGTAAAGGGATTCTGCCGTGTATCATTGCACAAGGCGGTGTAACCTCCGCTCGCTCCCGACAAAATCCGTTGTATTCGTTAAAAAAAGTTTTGATATCGGTTTTTAACATGCGGTTTTTGTTTCCCAAGTATTTGGTGAGCATGTTATAGTGTTTATAGTTTAAGTATTGTTGGCCTTAGTGTTAGGCCGGATGGGCCCGGATGATCTTGATGGAAGCGTGTGGATGAGGAGGGCGGGTTGTCGTTTTCTATAAAGTATTTTCTGTGAAGTATATTCTGTCTAGGTACTTCCGAAAACAGTAACATGCCCAACTTGCTTATTTAAGAGAGGGAATTGCAACAAGATTACTCCGCAAATTAATAATTCCATTTAAAATTAATAAAGTTAACATATTCCGTAGCCAGTATAATAACAAGTTTTTTTAATGCCGGGTAAACAAACTAATTACTTTATTGTATACAAGAGAGGGCGCGTCGATCCCAAACATGTAGTCCAAGTGATTGAAGGAAAAATCTGACATAAGCAACATTGCCTTGCAAGCATCCTTCATACCATTGCATATACGGTTAACATCTTTTTCTGCCGAGAGCCAATCGTTTCGGCTGTAGATAAGGTAAACGGGAGAGGTTATTTTCGAGAGATTATAATCTGGCGGAAAAATACTTCCGTAAACCCTCAAATTAGATAATAGTCCAAGATCGTACTGTCTGAATTTACCTGAAAATCGGTTGAATTAATCCTACCCATAGAATGCTTAAATATAGTATAAGAGTTATACCAGAGGTTATTTCCTGGCCGTAGTGCAGAATTTGGTTGGTAGCAGCACCAGCGGGGGTATACTTCATCATGATCGGCAGTAGAGTTGAATTCATTTGAGATCTACTGAATCCGCAGACCGCAAAAAGGGCGTTGGTGCACAGAAGTTGAGAAATTGCATCCTCTGCGCAGACCGCGTCTCCAAGAACGTTCTTCGTAAAATCTGAAGCCGGCAGGAATTCGTCTACGCCGATCAATTTAAGTAACATCTGGGAGCAAAAATATTGCTTGCTAATCGAGTTTAGAATAATCACGCGTCGTTATTACCTCGAGCGGCAATTGAAAAAGCGCCACCAATTTTAAAAGCGGACTGGTCATGTGATTCATGAATCCGATGGGTGCCAAACTAATTTGGGCCTTAATTTTTGAGTTGTATTCAGGTAAAATTGACGTCATAACGTAGAACACAGTCGTTCCCTGCGAATGACCTACGTAGTACACGCCATCTACACCGGTGTTGTTAAGGACGTAATCGATCATTAGCGGCACGTCTATGGTGCCAATTTCGTGCCACGAAAATTGCCAAAACTTCGAATCCTTATCGGGGTCGTAAGAGACGTGCGCACGCGATTGGGTATTCCCCCGAGCGTTTCCTAACCATACGTCGTAGCCCTCGTCGGCTAACATGTACGCTGCAAATTGACAGTTGAGTGATAAACAGAAACTTTTTAATTATTGAACTATGTATAAGTGAATTGCTTTTTTTTAGTCGTTATCTTAATCAATTATTACAATTTTCGGAAAAACAAAGTAGATAAAGTTTGCGATGCAAAAACCGATAATATTAGTCGTTGCAAGTTAGCTGTTAGGAAGGAAATACCCAAAGCTCGATCGGGACCCATAATAACCCAATCGGCAGACGAAGAGAGGATTCCATGTTGCAGAAACGCAACTTTTCCGTTACTCTTCCTCTTTTTCCCGTTCGGAATTCTGTGCATTTTGAGAATGTAACCATCTTTTGTGGTGACTGTGTGGGTTTCTACTGGATACTCGTCGGTCTCTATAAGATACTCCTGTGGAACAAAAGAATAATTTCCATAAATATTTGAAATTACGAAACTTACCACGGAACCATTGGAGTCTTTTAGTTTGTTTATTTCGATCAACACGTTCTGGTAAATGTCTGCGTCTACGTTAACGTTTTCGATGGCCGCGCCGTGGGTGGTCCCAAAGATGATGGAAAAACACATAAAAAATATGACTCCCATGGTGCTTTTCGCGATGTTCGTTTGCATCACTGGACTCGTTCTAATTAGCGCGGTATTTTTAAGCACTTCAAAAATTTGATTTAGCGATATCGCAGATAGCGCTGCGTTGCCAATACAATTATAAATTATTTTAAAACAATTTGCTTAGAACTCAGGCTTGAGTGCGGACTTAGTAGCTGTAACTATCTCTGATGCTGACAACATCTTTTCTTTTTGAAAAATTTCGCATTTGTAATGTCCTTTGATAAAATACTGGCAACTGCGCGTAAGGTTTCTCACGATATTTAATTTGAACTTCGTTATTTTACGTTGCACATATGAAAATCAACAGATGCGATAATAATCGACCTGTACAAGTACATTGATTTAAAGTACAACGACTATTACATCCTGAAGGTCGGATCATAAATCGGTTCTAAATATTAAGCTCGTCAAGGATTTATTTTGTGTAATAGGTTATCCGTTGTTATATTTAGTGAATGCGTCTTTAAGTACCGGAAAAATCCCTGATAAACTAAAAACAAGAATCATAGTGCAGTCTGGTTTCAGGAGCAAACACTCGTGCGAATCTGCGTTGCAATATATGTGTGCAGTGTGGCGGAAAGACATGAATGAATCAAAACTAATTCTGAGTGTTTTTGTAGATTTTAAACGTGTATTTGAGACTATTGACAGGGACATTCTTATTACAAAATTAGGTTTATATGGCATTAAAAACTCTGCACTAGAATGGATAAAGAACTTCTTATCTGATAGATTAATAATAATGTTTCTAGTCATAGGGATAGCAGATGGGGGGTACCGCAGGGAAGCGTGTTGGGCCCGCTTTTATTTATTATTTATATAAATGATATGCATCAGGTTTTAAAAAACTCCTTTGTTAACTTATTTGCTGATGACACGCTTATTTCCGGAAACGATTGCAAAGAAATAGCTACCAAACTGAACACCAAAATGCAGTATTTCTACGAATGGCTGTGTCAAAATAAACTGAAATTAAATAGCTCCAAAACCAAGTGCATGGTTATCGGTTCTAAGGTTAACTGTCAAAAATTTTATAAGTCGGGGTATTCTGTGGATATACAGGGTAAGAAAATTGAGTTTGTTTCCGAAATTAAATATTTAGGGGTGATCTTGGATCCACAATTATGCTTTAGTAATCATGTTGAATATCTATGCAAAAAAAATTGGTAAGAAAATAGGGTTTTTTAACTGTGTATCGCGGTTTTTATCGCAGTGGACTAGGATATTAGTGTATAATAGTATAATTTTGCCTCATTTTTCATATGTTTGTTCATTGCTTATATCTTGGACAAAAGAAGTTGTAAATAAGTTACAGTTACAACAAAACAGGGTTATGAGAATCATCCTGAACTGTGATAGATATACTCCTATAAAGAGTATGTTAGACCAGCTAAATTGGCTAAATGTCGGGCAGTTCAATAGAAGAGCAAGTTTAATGTTGGTTTCTGGAATTGCGCACGATCACCAACCAGGCTATCTTAAATTATGGTTGAAGAAAAGGTCAAACTTTTATCAATATAATATACGTTCCAATCAGCACTTCAATGTTTCTATGGTAAAAACAACAAATTTACGGAAAACTCTATTCCACGATGGTGTTTGTAATTTTAATGAACTGCCGGATAATACTAAGGGCGCGCCTTGCCCAAGAGTGTTCAAGAAGAGATTTACGGGGTATTTGCGAAGTTTATAGTTTTGTTTATGCAAATTTTACTTGCTTATGTAAATAGCCAAGTGCTAAATAAATAAATAAATTTCCAAAAAAAAAATCAGTTGACAAAATTACATTTTTTAACCGCGAATGTTATTCTAAATAATCATCGAATAATGTGACGAAAATATTCAAACCGCGTTATTGACTTGGCGAAGAAAATGGTGGGCTTAATAAATTATTTAGAGACGTTAATTTACAAGAATCCACCCATTAAGAAGTGCGGCTGTTTCGAAATTAATTAGAACTCTGCGCTTTAGAATTTGTTAACCCGATGATATTTTAGAGGGTTCGACGAGAGTCGATAATTTAAGCGAAATTGAAAATCCCTATAGACAGACCGGAATTAAAATGTACCTAAAATGATTTCGCCGAAAATAAAACGTGTTTTAAGGGGTAATTTATGTGGATCGGAACTGGCCAGCCATTTTATGTTAAAGAAACATCGACCACAATCGTAATTAACATTTTTCGTGGAAGATGTCCACAATCTCACGGATCGTCGGATGTCACTGGTTGAATTTGAAAACAAATTGCCATTGCGAATTCGCTTAAAGTAAAATTTCCAAGTTGCGGCGCCATATTTACTTATTGCAAACTTCCGACAATTTTTATTGTAGCTATTAACTTGGGAATAGAATTTGCATAACTATATATTTATTAGACTTAATACGTAACCCAATTCACGCAAAGTACATTTTGCATTTATTTAAGGGCTGTCGTTTAATCCGTGTAGAAAAGTTTTGTAGCACTTCCCGTTCAAGAACTTCTATATATGCCACGCAACGCCTTTTACTTCTTTTGTCGTTTTAAATTTATTTACCGACCCAGTTTGCTGTTGCTTTTCGATTACAATCTCCACAGTCCGTCTTGATAACTTCGTCTAGGGTCTAGAATATTCCGTAAAATATATTTGCCGCTTTTGAAATATTTTTTATGCGTACGGTTGTATACAAAACAAAAATTGTCGCCACAAAGCTATGAAAGAAAAATATTAGTAAAGTAAACATCAACAATAATAACATATACAATTTACAGTTTTACGTATTTTATTTATTTTGTCATCAGTAAAATTATATAACTTTACTGGTTACTTCGGAAGTTTTAGTAAATATTGAACTTTTGTAGAAAGTTTCTCAAATTATCTGGAACATAATATATTTTGATTAGTTTCTGTAACGGCCCACATGTGGAAAAAAGAAATAAGGATGTTGAAACAATTTTTTCTGTTTTGGCCAAAAAAGCAAAAAGTAGTAGCCAATTTAATCACCACAAAAGGACTGCATGTTTACTGAGTAATAAGTAATATTGGGAAGTTATAGTATTACGAGCATTAGGTGAATTTTGTGCTATTTTAAGCTTAAAATAATATACTTGCCGACTTATTAATAGAAATTGGTTGTGAATTCTTCAAATTGGTATTATTAACCGCTCGTGGCAAGACAACTAGGGAAGTATTAAAACTAATAATAAAGTTGTGCGTTCAGGTGATTCTTAACATGTTCAACTGTTAACAATTTGTTTTAAAGGTACATTTTGAGCTATATCCTACTTCATGCTGGCATGCAAGGTGCACCAGTTGAATTTCCTTCGAAACTCACCTGTTAAAGGACTTGAGGGAACCATCCATCATATTATATAGGTTAAATGACAGAACGGATCAGTTTGACTTTGTATTGCCTACGGAAGATGTAAAATCTAAAGCTGCGGGCCATGATGATATAAATATATCATTAATACTTCTTTGCTGTCCATATATTGCCCCATACATTACGCATATAATAAATGAGTGTATCTTAAATTCGTACTTTCCGTCAACATGGAAGCGGGCACAAGTCATCCCCTTACCGAAAATAAACAATCCAAGCGAATTTAGTCACCTGCGGTCAATTAGCATATTGCCTGTTCTATTTAAAGTACTTGAAAGAATTATGAACGATCAAATGGTAAACTTTTGAAATTCTAATCATATTCTACCAGAGAAACAGTCTGGTTTTAGACCTAATCACAGTTGTGAGAGTGCCATGCTGGACATTACTGATGACATTTTTAGAGCGACTGACGATGGAAAGATAACGACTTTAATATTGTTGGATTTCAGTAAGGCATTCGATATGATAAATCATTCAATTCTCTTGGCCATTCTCCATTACGTTGGTTTCTCCGAAGGTGCTCAAAAGTTTCTGTGTTCCTTTTTGTCAGGTCGGACACAACGGGTTGTCTACAATCAGCAGCAGTTATCGTTCCTAGGTGTTCGCATGGGTGTTCCACAGGGCAGCATTTTTGGTCCCTTGTTGTTTGTTTTTACTTTTAACTTCATTGGAGCCCTCCACCAATGCAACTGTCATTTTTATGCGGATGACACTCAAATTTACTACTCATTTTTTCCTCAAGAAATAGCTACCGCGGAGGATGTGATCAATACTGATTTATCAAATTTTTTTAACATTGCAACAGATCACCTCCTAAAGCTTAACCCTAATACTCTTTGGAAATGATAATCATTTAACCTATGCAAAGTATAACATAACAATTAAACTTAATAACATAAAATTGCCACTCTCTGAGTCATGCAAAAGCTTGGGTCTCACTCTTGATTCGCAGTTGCGTTTCAGAGAACATATTACTAATAAACTAAGAGTTGCCTATGCTAATTTAAATTAATTTATGGGAATAGACATGTACTTCGTCAGGGAACTCGTAAGTTGCTGGGTGAATCACTTGTTCTGTCACAATTTAATCACTGCAGTGCTGTGTGCGGACCGTGCCTGGATGCGTCCGATCGTTACCGTGTCCAGAAGGTTCAAAACTCCTGTCTAAGGCTAATTTATGGGGTAAGGAGGAGAGATCATATCTCCCCGTAACTTGCTGCGTCGGGTTGGCTTAATATGCACCTTCGATGCAAATTACGAATGAGTTCTCTTTATTTCAACATCCTTAAAACAAAATTACCTTTTTATCTTTGCAGAAAAATTACTCTTAACATATCAATACACAATTTGAATCTGCGTGGAAGACACCGACTAGTTATACCCCGTCACCGCAAAGAATTATTTAAAAGATCATATTCCTATAATATAGCCATTTGCATTAACTCTATTACTAATGTTGATATTAATCAGTCCAACTCGACGTTTAGGAATAATTTCAAATAGCAGTTGTTACGTACGCACTAATATTAAGCTCTTCTACAAAACATGTGCCCCTTTCCTTTCCTTTCCTTCCCCCTCCATTTCTTCTCTTTTCTTTTCTTTAGAATTATGTGTATCTACGCTTGGCGCTTTCAAATAAATTCTATGAAATTTTTTATTATTATATTTTCGCTGTTAAATTGAGGCCTGGACAGTATATAGAACTTCTAGATGGCTGACCTAACAAGGCCTATTGTTTGTTATCATATGTTTAGAATATAAAATATTTTGATTAATCGAATAAACTATTTTTTCAACAATATCAACATAAAAAAAGCAAACCTGAATCTGATATTAATACAATGCACCCATTCCCAATTTCGCTTGCAATATAAACTC